ACACACACACGCACACACACACCACACACACACACACACCCCACACACACCACACACACCACACACACCACACACACACCACCCACACACCACCCACACACACCACACACACACACGCACACGCACACGCACACGCACACGCACACGCACACGCACACGCACACGCACACGCACACGCACACGCACACGCACACGCACACGCACACGCACACGCACACGCACACGCAAACGCACACGCACACGCACACGCACACGCACACGCACACGCACACGCACACGCACACGCACACGCACGCACACGCACACGCACACGCACACGCACACGCACACGCACACGCACACGCACACGCACACGCACACGCACACGCACACGCACTCGCACACGCACACGCACACGCACACGCACACGCACACGCACACGCACACGCACACGCACACGCACTCGCACACGCACACGCACACGCACACGCACACGCACACGCACGCACCCACACCCACACCCACACCCACACCCACACCCACACCCACACCCACACCCACACCCACACCCACACCCACACCCACACCCACACCCACACCCACACCCACACCCACACCCACACCCACACCCACACCCACACCCACACCCACACCCACACCCACACCCACACCCACACCCACACCCACACCCACACCCACACCCACACCCACACATACACACACAGAGACACAGTGGGGAAAAAACACACACTGTGTGTTTTTCCCCCTATCGTTTTTTCCCACAGTGTGTGTTTTTTCCCCACAGTGTGTGCTTTTTCCCCACAGTGTGTGTTTTTTTCCCCCACAGAGTGTGCAGGACCGCCGGCCTTGCCGCCGGGCTGTGTCCTTGAGGCAGCAGCCTCACGACAGGGGCAGGCGTGCGTAATCTGCGGACGCGCGACGGCCAGCACCTGCTCCAGCCAGCATCTCCAAGAGGACGAACCTTGGTAACGGTCCGACGTGAGAGTGTGCAGGACCACTGGCCTTGCAGCCAAACAACGTCCTGGAGGCATCTGCCTCGCGACGGGGGCAAGCGTGCAGAGTCAGCAAATGCTCGCAAACTGGCACTGCCGCCAGGCAGCACCACAGGAAAAGAAGTGCGAGAACCAAAGAACAGTGAGCGTGCAGGACCGCCGGCCTTGCCGCCAGACTGTGTCCTTGAGGCGATTGGTTTGGTTCGCGACGAAAACAAACACGCAGAATCTGTTGATGTCCGATAGCCGGCACTGCCGCCGCTGCTTCAGGCACCAGAGGCGGGTACCCGTGCCTGTCCATCGACACGGATGGGTATCTGGGCCCATACCGTCCTGCCTCCCTGGGGAATGCCGTGCCTGCCCTGACTGTGAGGGCAAAAGGTCCTAGGCCACCGTCGCCCTGCCATTCACTGGATAAGGGGCTGCCCATGGGTGCTCCTCGAGTTCAGGGAATTCTGAGTGGCGTCCCGTGCGTCCCCTGGGCTTTTCCCATTACCCAATATCGAATGGCGTCGGCACGAGGAGGAGGCGGAGGAGGAGGTGGAGGAGGAGGAGGAGGAGGAGGAGGGGAGGAGGCTGGCTGAGGAGGAGTAGGAGGGAAAAACAAGGATGAGGCAGGTCTCCTATATATTGGCACAGTCGGATGTCGAGCAGGGCAATGATCCCAAGAGGGTACGAGATGGATGGAACAGAATGGCGTAGAAGAGCACGGCAGAGCATAGCGTATCACAGCATCGCGTGGCATCGCGCAGTGAAACGTTGTGTCCGATCGCATAGGAACGCAAAGCATGGCATCGCACGTCGGTGCACAACACAACATCGCACCGCATGCCGTGGCATGGCACCGGATGACTTGGAGGGTCAGTAGCCCGTCTCAGATCGGGTGTTGCTAGAAGTGCCCCTGGCCAAAGGTGCCCCCAGCTTTTCGCTCCATTTTGGAGCCCCCAGGGCTCTCTGGGCCTCGTGAGGGGTGCCCTGGAGGCCGTCTGGGTCACCCCGAGAATCCTAGGGGTACCTTGGGCCAGGGATAGTTCTAGCAACACCCGAGTCTACGAGAAGACAGGGCCCGTCCAGAAAGTCGGGTCCCTGTCCTCCGCTACCGTGCCTGCGTGACGTGGGCGCTTTCGCATGCCAGGTGCAGCCCAGAGGCGCGGGAACCAGCGCTGCAGCGGGAGCACGCTTTCGAATGACCGAAGCGCGGACACGAGGGCGGCGCTGCAGCGGGAACACCACTTTGAACGAACAAGAAACGACCATATTGAAACAGCACATCGGGCAAAACTGAACAATGAAATCCTGCGTGTGATGAACGATATGAAGAGAGGTTGGGATATTTTTTAGATAGGGTTAGGGGAGAGAGGAGAGTGGTATTCAGATTGTGTAATTGTGGAGAGGAGGAGGGGGAGGAGAAGAAGGAAGAGGAGGAGGACGAGGAAGAAATGTAGGAGGGAGTGAGGACGGAGGAAAGGAGGGATAATTTCCGCGGCAAGTTTTCGTCCTTGATCCGTTTTTCTCACATGTTTCGTGGGGTTCTGGTTTTCATCCCTGCCGCGTCACACCCACGTCTCCCGCACACCTCCCCTCCTCCTCCTCCTCCTCCTCCTCTTCCTCCTCCTCCTCCTCCTCCTCCTCCTCCTTCTCCTCCTTTTCCTTCTCACACAGCACAGCGCAGCGAAGCGCAGCGTAGCACAGCACACAGCACATTGACATACAGCACGTACACAACACAGCACAGCACTGATCAGCACAGTTCAGCTCAGCACAGCACAGCTCAGCACAGCTCAGCTCAGCACAGACCAGCTCAGCACAGCACAGCACAGCTCAGCACAGCACAGCACTGCACAGCACACACACACAAGCACGAAAACACATGACACGCACACCACGCAACACGTGCGCGCCAACAGGAGGTGCGCAGGGGGTGGTTCCTGAGCGCGGTCTCCATACGCGCCAATGTCGCAGGGCCTAGCAAGCGTGGTGCTCTCTCGACACCGGAGGCGATGCGCAAGGGGTGGTCTCTCAGCGCGGTCTCTATACGCGCCAACGTTGCAGGGCCTAGCAGGCGTGAAATTTTCTCGCAACACGGAGGGGGTGCGCAGGGGATGGTCCTTCAGCGCGGTCTCTATACGCGCCAATGCTGCAGGGCTTAGCAGGCGTGGCACTCTCTCGACACCAGAAAAGGTGCGCAAGGGGTGGTCCCTCAGCGCGGTCCCTATACGCGCCAACGTTGCAGGGCCTAGCAGGCGTGGCATATTCTCGACACCAGAGAAGGTGCGCATGGGGTGGTCCCCCAGCGCGGTCTCTATACGCGCCAACGTTGCAGAGCCTACTGGGCGTGGCGCTCTCTCGACACCAGAGGGGGTGCGCAGGGAGTGGTCCCCCAGCGCGGTCTCTATACGCGCCAATGACGCATGGCATAGCAGGGCTGGCGACTTCTCGAAACCAGAGGGGGTGCGCAAGGGGTTGTCCCTCAGCGCCGCCGCTATCCGTCACGGCCGTCCAAGGCATAGCAGGCGTGGCATATTCTCGACACCGTAGGGGGTGCGCAGAGGGTGGTCCCTCAGCGCGGCCGCTATCCGTCACGGCCGTCCAGGGCGTAGCAGGCGTGGCATATTCTCGACACCACAGGGGGTGCGCAAGTGGTTGTCCCTCAGCGCGGTGTGGACCCTTTGGCGTTGTAGTCGTCTCTGTTGGCACGGCGTGTCAGTCCCCCAAGGGTTGAACCGCGCCGCCTTCGATGTCGGCGAAGCAACGGCCACGAGCAACATGCTCGCAAGTTCCACGTCAACTACCATCACGCAAGACACAGGATAAATATGTGGGGTTCCTCGGTAATTGCTTGTCTCGGGGCCCGAGGACGGGCGCAAGAGGCCGAACATCGACACGCAACAGCGGGATTGAAGAAATCGTATCCTCGGACACTTTTTAGGGGGAGGAGGGGAGGGAAGGGAGGAAAGGGATCCAACGGATCGCGCAAGAGGTTTCTCTTCAATTTCAATCTCCGCGGCCCCCCGTGTCGGGCCCGTCGAGACTGTCAGAGACCGATCCTGGGCGAAACCAGCCAGGGTGGACCTCAAGAAAGGTCGGAGGGTTTGCGTTGGACGGATTTTTGTCGGGACCCATGGAGGAGAATAAACAGATAATAAACAACTGATAAAACAACGCCTCGGAAAGGTCTGAAGGTGAGCGCACCAACGATGGACATTTGTTGAAACAACAGATCATCCTGTTCACTGCCACTTTGGCCTTTATGCGGGCTAGCAGCGCTACCATCATCTGCTGGGGGCCTTCGTAGTCACTACTGAAGTTACAAGGGACAGACGACACGCTGGCCATTTCACGAGCGTTTGTCAAGGCCGCCTGGAGCCGAGACGCTGGAAGAGCTTTATCCACCAACTCCGTCAACGGAAGATCCGACCTAAAACCCCGGCGAAACCGGCACAAAACTGTAGATCTTTGCCCCGGATCCATATCTTATGCCCAGAGGCCGACATCGAGGGAAAGCGGCTGGATTGAAAAAGCGCAACTCGTCAGAGATCCGGGGGTACTCGAGACGACCTTCTCGCTGCACCTCGCCCTCGTCGAAGTCGTCCAGCCCGCGGGGGGCCGCCTTCGGCGCAGGCCGCCCGTGAGATCCGACGCAGCGCAAAAATGCAACGTCGAAGAACATCGCGCCCAGAGCCCTAGACCCCATCTTCCTGCGTCAGTTTCGAGCTCCGTCGATCTGCGAGGGCCCCGGGGCCCGAAACCAGGCGAAAACGCCGAGGTCTGAAGGACAGGGTGCGCGGCGGGCGCCGCGCGAATGCCTCCCGCAGCCCGGCCGTCCCTCCGCGTCCCGGCGTCAGGGGGGAACCGCCAGCGTCCGCGCTTCGACCCGCCGCGCCAGGGTCAGCTCGGAGGAAACCTTCGGCAGCGCGCCGCAGTGATAAACCGCGAGGCCTCCGAGTTTCCATCGTGGAGGAGGCGCGTCCTGTTTTTGGCGCCTTCCTCTCCGAGCAGGGGCCCGGGGGGCGCGGCGGGGGCGTGGGGGTTATGGTGCTGAGAGAGTCCCGACAGCGAGGGGAGGAAAACAGATGGAGTATCTTGCGAGGGGGAGAAGGGGGACGGGGGGCATGAGGTGGGGGAGAGGAGTGTAGGAGGCGGAGGAGGAGGAAGAGGAGGAGGAGGAGGAGGAGGAGGGGGAGGAGGAGCAGGAGGGGCAGGAAGAGGAGCAGGAGGAGGAGGATGAGGAGGAGGCGGAAGAGCAGGAGGAGAAGGAGGAGGAAGAGGAGGAGGAGGATGAGGATGAGGAGGAGGAGGAGGAGGAGGAGGAGGAGGAGGGAGGAGGAGGAGGAGGAGGAGGAGGATCAGGAGGAGGAGCGGGAGGAGGAGGAGGGGGAGGAGGAGGAGGTGGAGGAGGAGGAGGAAGAGGAGGAGGATGAGGAGGAGACGGAGGAGGAGGAGCAGGAGGAGGAGGAGACAATGGAGACAATGCAGAGAGCGTGCAAGTGAATCACGAACACGCCTCGGGACAGAAAGGGAGAACCAAGGGAGCAAACCTCATCCTTGTGCCTCGGGCTCGGGCTCCTGCGGCGGCATCGCAGGCTCCTCGAGCTCCGAGAAGACAAGCGGCTCGAGGGGCACGCCCGTCTTGGGATGCAGGCCCCTGCGAGCCTGCTCGAGCATCCACGCGATGGCTCCGTCCCCCCCATTCCCAGCTCCAGCCGACCCCGTCCCAGCCCTCTTACACGCTCGAGACAGGCCGAACGACAGCCGGTTGGGGCGCACAGCGTGCGCCCCACACTTCACACAAATCAGGACACGATCTACGGCCTGGACCTGGTGTCCTGGCCCGACCTCCTGGGGGTCACACGCTCGGGAGGCCAGAGACTTCAACGACGAAGCCGTCGAGGCTTGCCTCCAGCAGGCACGACAGCGAATCGCTCCCCCAGCGAAGGCCACGAAATCGTGATCGGTCGGTCGCCGCGGACGACGGGGCCGAGTCGCGGCCTTCGGAGGCGCACGGAGGATCGGGGTGGAGAGGCGGGCCACACGCTCGGCCGCCCAGGCCAGACATCGCATCGTGTCCTGGGCCCGAAGCAGAGAAAATTTGTGAGCCTTGACCACGGAGGTGGATCCAAGGAAGTCGGCCGCGGCCACTCTGGCGAAAACATCCGCCCACATGTTGCCGAAAAAATGCTCGAGGGGCTCCTGGGATGCCAGGCACGCATCGAACCCCTCGATAACAGTGCGATGGGCCTTCGTCCAAACAAAAACGGGCCTGACAGGGTCGCCCCTGTACAATTCGTGGATGCTCCGCCAGATTGACGCGTGAGGCGCTCTGGCAGAAGCATGACGACCCTCCCAAGCCGTTCCCTCGACCTGCAGCTGCAAATGATCGGTCACGTACGTGGCTGGCCTCTGGGCCCTTTGCAGGGCCTTGAGACCAGCCACCCGCTCGGCCCTCGGCACCGACTGGATGGGGCCCCCCAGGCTCCCGAACAGAGCTTTGTACGGCCACAGGTCTCGGGTCAAGGCCACAACGGCCCATCCGCAGCGCCGCTCCTCAGGGAAGTCACTTTCCAGACACGAACCGTCCCCGTACAGCTTCGACGGCCACGGCAGGCCGATCGCCCCCCACTCACGCTCAGCCTGAGCGCGTGCAGGCAGCGGCCTGAAGGCAGGCCTCATGGGCAGCGCGTAGAGCACGTCCAGGGCCGAGAAGTCCTGCACCTGGCACCCGTCCTGCCACGGGGCTGCCTCCAGGATGTCCTTCCTCCTCCTGGCGACGTCCTCAGGGTACGGCTCCGTCTCCTCGTCCTCTTGCTGCTGATGCAAGACCTTGCAGCCAAAGATCTCGTGCTCGAGGTCGCAGTAGGCCTCCCCGCAGAACTCGCACGAGCCATCGTCGCTGTAGCCAGCCTGCTTGCGGCGCTGCGGCGACCAGAAGCCGTTGGACTGCAGCTTGGCCAGCGCCCCTCTGTGCCCAGGCGCCAAAGAGGCGTGGCCCAGCCGAAGCGCACGAAGCCACACGTGCTGCCGCCTGCCTGCACCATCGGCTGGGGGCGCCTCAGGAAGCTGGTCGAGGATGCGGTGGCTCTGCCAACGGTCCAGGCTGCGATGCAGGAAGAACAGCACCTCACTGGGACAATACTGCAACAGACTGATGTGCAGGCCCTCATCAACCAAGATAGTGGAGCTGGCCATGTTCCAGTTGACTCTCCTGAACGACAACCACATCGCCGACAGCGGGCCCTGTGCACTGGCCCAAGTGACGTGAGTGTCGCGTACATCCCAGGAGTCACGCAAGCACATCCAGGCACGCTGCAGGCGGGAGAGCGTCACACGCCCATCCCACACCCACGCCGCGTACTGCCCCACGATGCTGCAGGTAGCGTGGAAAATGGGGTCGAAGTTCCACTTCTGCGCGGCCAGGTACAGCGTCAGGGAGCCCGACCCCCTGTAGCCGCAGAAGACGCCAGCCATGCTCCTCATCTGCTGCAGCTCCCTGTCGCTGATGCCGCTGACCGTGGCTCCGTGCCCCACGGATGGCAACACACCCGTGGCCCAAAGCCGAGCCGCTCGCTGTCGCCCTGCTCCCTTCTGCAAGGCACGGACGCTGGCCTTCTTGCCGTGCATAGACTTCAGGCGATCCTTCTGCACGGCTCTGGTGGCAGATGACCCAGCTAAATCGTGCCCAAGGTACCGCATGTGCCTCTTGCCAGAGATCTTCAGCAGCCTGGCGTACTTCTGGAAGTGGTAGCTGGTACGCCTGGACGTCGTGAGGTGACCAGACTTATCCATTTGCAGCACCAGTCCGAGGGGCCTAACAGCCCTGCAGAACGCACGAGTAGCAATGGCCATCTCCCGCACTCCACGCGGGTCGTTGCCAACCCAACACAGCGCGACATCATCCACCAAGTCCTTGGGCTGGACCTGAGGAGCGACTGTCATCGTCTGGCGAATACTGCGAGTCAGCAACACCATCAGTAGCGTCGTGGCGTGGGTGCAGCCTGCCAGGATGCCCTGACATGCCCTGCGCGCCACCGAGTAAGACGAGTACGAGTACACAGAACGCAATTGTTGGTACATCTGCACAAGCATAAACGCCATTCTCATGGGATATCCATTGGCCCTGCACTCCAACAATATGGCATCATGCCTGACCAATTCGTAGCATTTGAGCATGTCCAGCAACACAATGATGGCGTCATCATCGCACAGGGTCGCCATCTCCTTGGTAAGAGCCAAATCAAAGGCGGCATCACTCGACGACTTGCCTCCAGTGTGGCCCCAAACCTCTGGGAGCGCATGGGCCTTCTCCCACGCTGCCGAGACAGGCCGCCTCGCCCGTCCCCAGATCCTGACCAGCGTGTTCATCAGCACAATCAGACGCTCCCCACCCCCTGGCTTGGGGAGCCGCACAAGTTTCGAAATGAATCTGCCGTCTGGCCACAATAGCAGGTACTCGCACTGCTCGAAGAGGCGCGCCATGGCCGTCAGCGCCCCGCGGGAGAGGTGCTCCATGGCCCTGGGCGCGATGTTGACCTGCCCGACACCTGTCTGCCAAGAAAAACAACGTATGGCCTTGAGCACGTCAGCCGCCTCAAGCCTTGGTAGCTGCTCCCAAGCGTCAGCATCAGCAGGTCGGCGAACCGCCTCACCACCATGCCGCACCCAGAAGCTTTCCCAAAATTCCAGCTTACGGTCGGCCAGTTCGTACCCATGCTGCAGCCCATTGCCTCCGTCCACGATCTCCTGGAGGGCCTTGGGCTTCAGGAAGCGGTGAGCTCCCCTAGCGCCAGCCACAAAAGCCGCCTGCGCCCACTGTCTCCAGCTCTGCGTCGCGGCCTTCTCATGCTTGGCCTCTGCATCAGAGGAGATATTCAGGATGCGGTCGACCTGCTGCTCGAAGTCTGCTTGCGCTAAGACCAGCATGCCACGCGAGAAGAAACCGACGGCCTCGGCGTCCAGGTGCGGCCAGACTCCCTTCCTCCGCCAAATTCTCTGGAAGAAATTCTCGCACTCCAGCAGGTGGCGCGCCGCCTTGGAGTGTACGGCGTCCCACGATGGGTCCTCGCCTGCACGACGCAGGGGCTGGTGTCGCTGCGCTCTCGACCGAGGCCAACCACCATCGGAGGAGAGACCAGCCACTCCGACGACCTCCGCGGCAGGGGGTGCACCATCGACCAGGCCAGGCACTCCATCGTCATGCACCACGCCGACGCTGCCGAGCTCGAAGTCATGCTGCGGACCAAGCTGGAGCACGAAACTCTGCAATGCCACTCGAACTCGCCTGAGGTGACGAGCCCAGCGCGCAGCCTGCGCCCAGGCCTGGGTGGCAGCCGACCTCCTGCTCCAGGCTCCTTTCACCACAGGGTGAAAGCTCACCAGCTCGAAGGTCGGGGGGCCTGGCACCGTGGAGTACTCCGCCGCCTCATTCACAAGGTCGTAGCGGCCCTGCAGCTCAAACTCGATGCCGCTGAGCACGACGTCCCAGGCCCTGGTGATGCCCTCGCTGTCGGTCGCGCTCTGGATGACCACCATGATCGGGTCCCAGTCGGGGGGAAACCTCGCACACCCCGACGCAGGCGGGCTACGAATGCCGCGAGGCTCGACTAGCCTCCTGACCTTCGCGTCGAAGGCCGTGGCGGAGAGCTCCATGGTCACGGGCAGATGCGGCCACGTCTCCGCGTCAACCACCGCCGGTTGCCGAACGCGAGGTAGCAAACGGCAGGAGACCATGAACATGTCAATGGTGCGGCCAGGAAGGCTCTGAATACACGTTGGCTCCCTCGGCGCCATCACCACCCCATTGGCCGACTGGAGCCAGGACAACGGGCCTAGCTCGCCCACCTCCATGTTGAAATCACCTCCGACAATCCACGGGACGCCCATCGCCTCCAGCGACCTGACGTACTGGTACAGCTTGTACAGCATGGCCAGATTCTCAGGCGACAGCTTCACGTCGACGACGAAGTAGCACGACAACATGACGAAGCCGCCCTTCACCCCGGCGTGAACGTGGGCCGCCATCATCCTGCCATCATGAAGCACGTGACTGTCAAGGCCTGGGGGTTTGGTGATGACCACCCGCAACGGGGCCAACACCGCGACCCCGCCTCTGCTGCCAGCTCCCTGCCCTGGTAAGGCAGGCTCCCATATTCCATGGTACCCAGCAGCTCGTACCTTATTCTGTAACTTCGCCAAGGCCTCGCCCTCAGCCTTAGCATGATGTTCCTGCACAGCGATGCACAAACTTGAGCACGTGGGCAGGAAGTCGACGAGCGGGCCGCCCGAGGACACGTTCACGGTAGTAATACTTGATAGCGACGCCATGGTGCAACAAAAAGGAACCAACCACACAAGACAGCACCGTGGAACCAGGCTAGACAGGGGTGAGCCTGGGCTTCTTGACCTTGGCGCCCCATCGCATGAAGATCTCCTCCAGCCTGTGCTTTTCGCCACCAGCAGCGACGACCTCCTCCATGAACTCGGGGTCATCAGAGAAGACTGCTGGCTGTGGTGTGCGAGGGGCTGCTGCAGTGTCCTGCTGCTCGGCCTGCTCAACATTGGCACTAGCCTCGGCCTCAGCAGCGGCCTGCGCCTTCTGGGCTGCCAGCTTCGCAGCCTCCTCCACCTGCAACCTCTGCAACTCCTGAAAACTCGCCGTGAGGCTGCCCGACAGCTGGTGATCGGCGCCCAGGCTCTGGAGCAAGATACCAAGGCCTTCGATCGTGGCGCCGACCCCCTTGATCGGCTCGTCAAGCGATGCCTTGTCACCTGGCGTAGGAACCTGCCCTTGAAGCTTCTTGCGCTCCTGGTCCAGCTCCTCCATGCTAGCGTCGATGGCCGCCAGCTTGTCACGAGTGATCCGCTCCTTCTCCTGCAAGTCACGTATCTGCGCCTGCAGTCCTTCCAGCTTAGTCTGCTGGTCGTCCCGCAGCTTCTGCTGCCTGGTGAACTGAGCCCCCATCTCGCGCAAGCGCTGCCCGAGCGGTCGAGACTCCGCCACCTTGGCCCGCAGCTCGGCCTGCTCCGCCAGCAGCTTGTCGCGCGTGGCAACGACCGACGGCTCCGCGATGCCCTTGAGCTTGCCGATGAGGTCGCCGACCTCGCGCAGCCTGTCCTTGGCAACGGACTCGGGGGCGTCCCCGTCCGCAGCGGGCTCCATCTGCACGTCCTCCCCGCCAGGCGGCGGCCTCTGCACAGCTGCCAGCCGCTTGCGAGCCGCCGCGAGCTCGGACTTGAGCTGGGCCACCCTGACGGAGTCATCCCAGTAGCCGTTGCCACCGCCGCCCAGGTAACCCTTCCTCCGCTGGGAGGGGGCGGACGGCTTGCGTACTCCGTGGAAGACCAGTCCCTTGCCGAGCTTGCACTTCGCACACTGCCGAGCCTCTGCATGATTCCACCACGATCTCCCCGAGGGCCCGCAGCAGCTCTTGCAGTACCAGGGAAGCGCCTGCTCCGAGCGGTAGTGCGGCGGGCGAGGGGGAGGAGGAGGAGGAGGAGGACAATGAAGATGAGGAGGAGGAGGGTGAGGAGGACGAAGCACTACGACATGGACAGCGGCAGCGTGGACACCTACGACGAGAAGATTGAGCAGCAGCTCGCAGACCAGGAATGCAATGAGCGCGAAGTTCTCCTAGGGGCTAGGTTTGACGACCTGAAAGCCATGCTCTACGATATGCGGGCTGACATCTTGCAGCTCTCGCAGCGGATCGAGCAGGTTGGACAGGTTGTCGAGGAGCAGGCCTCGTGCGAGAAGGACTCCCAGCAAATGATCAACAACGTCACGGAGGGGAAGGCGATGTCAAGCCAGACTGGCGAGATAGCTGAGGCCACCCAGGAGGGCAATTGCCAGGCGGTCGTCGGGGTAGAGAAAGCTAGGAAGCAACATGTCGTCGACACAGTAGGAGGTGCAGCAAAACGAGTTCGTACACACGAATAACCTGGAGGACTGCAGCGAGGATGCCGAGAACATCTCCGGCGTGCAGGAAGAGCTGGAACTGCGCCAGATACAGGCGGCGAGGGAAGAGCAGTACAGAAAAGCAGTCCAAGAGGTAACAAAACTTGCTGAGCGGGTTCGAAGGCTGGAGTGGGAAGAAGATCAGCTCCAGAGGGCCAAGTCTGATGCTAGACGGAACAAATTTTTGCATGGATGAGCGGCAGTGGCTGAGTGAGGCGTTCCCCCGGCCTCACAACAGCAAGCTGTCGTGTTTGCTCTGTTCACCCCCTGCTTGTCAACTCCTGATTCCTACACGTGCTCTCTTGCCCCCCCTTATCAACTTCCCACCTCCTCTCAGCAATTGCGTGGCCCAGCAGCTCCTAAGGAGGCGGGGTGGAGGTCTTACGGAAGAGGGGAGGGGGCAATCCATAATCTCAGAGTTGCCTGGCGGCTCGAGACGCTTCCGGAGCGTCCCAAGTTGAGCGAGCAGAGCCAGTAACCTAATGTCCATAAAGTGCATAGGGCCATGGCGTGTTGGCCCGGCCTAGCAACCCTCCCCTATCATAGTATCCTCCCCTCTTGCCCCTTCCACTGCACCACTCTCTTCAGCATCAGGGAAGAATGCAGGATGCCACTCGCAGCTGTATCCAGCATGCTTACGACTAGGATCTTCTCTCGATGTGTTGTGGGGTGGTGGAGATTGGGTCGGTAGTTCGGGTGGTAAGTGCGGGGAGAAACCAAGGAGAGTGCGCAGAGGCAAATGCCCTAGCACTGACCCGCCACTAGCGGGATACTTGCGAGCTGGTGAAACACCGAGCCCGAGAGGCCAAGCTTCACGCTCTTAAGGGGGTGCCCATTGACGATTAAGGATGGGGGGGATGGTTGATGGCAGCAGGTATGGACATCCCCTTCCTTCCCCTCCGTGCCGCGTCCGCGAAGCGCAGGATCACAGGAGCTTGGGTTGGGCACTTCCGTCCCTCTCCCGTCCCCCTCGTTCCCCTTTCCCTTCTCCTTCCCGTTTTCCTTGAGCGCGTGCGGCTTTCGAGTTCCTTTTAGGTACTTTAAGGTCTGCCAGTTCGGATTCTCGGGTTCGCTGTGTGTGTGTGAGGAGGAGGAGGAGGAGGAGGAGGAGGAGGAGGAGGAGGAGGAGGAGGAGGAGGAGGAGGAGGAGGAGGATGAGGATGAGGATGAGGATGAGGATGATGATGATGAGGAGGAGGAGGAGGAGGAGGAGGAGGAGGAGGAGGAGGGAGGAGCAGCGAGGAGAAGAAGGAGCAGGAGGAGGAGGAAGAGGGGGAGGAGGAGGAGAAGGATAATAAGGAGGATAAGCAGGAGGGAGGAGGAGGGGGGGGAGGAGGAGGAGGAGGAGGAGGAGCAGGAGGAGGAGGAGGAGAAGGAGGATGAGGAGGAAGAAAAGGTGGAGGAGGAGGAGCGTGCACATGAGCATGACCGTGAGGCGTCAATCCACGACCAGCCTACTGCAACTGCCGAGAGACATGCAGCAGGGAGTGAACAAGCAAAGGCGGCGCCAGGGTTCCCCGATTTAGAGGACGAGCTGATATCGTCGAGCGTGCGAGTTGGCGCCCCAGACGGGGGCCAACCCGGGCAAGGCGGCGGGCCCAGCAGGCGCGCAGCCCTGTGGCTGCCGCCATCGCGGCCACTTCCGAACCATCTGTGTGGACGGTGCCGTCCTCTACCTTTGCCTGGCGGTTGGGGGCGAGGGAGTGCGCTGGCTGGCCCAACCTCAGGGGCTGGGGCTCAATGGGGGCTCTGGAAGGTTTTGGGCTGTAGTTGGTGCAGGTGGTTTCTCAGGGATCCGGGGACCGAGCAAGGGAGAGAACACCGAAAGGGGAGGAGGAGGAGGAGGAGGAGGAGGAGGAGGAGGAGGAGGAGGAGGAGGAGGAGGAGGAGGAGGAGGAGGAGGGAGAAACATGGAATGGGTCAGAAATCCTCCGCCTCCTCCTCCTCCTCCTCCTCCTCCTCCTCCTCTGCCTCCTCCTCCTCCTCCTCTTGAGCTGGAGGAGGGCCTCAGAGGCGAGGAGGGCCCGCCAGGGCGGGAAAGGCAGGGATGAGGGCCCAACACCTCGACCAAGGCGGGGTGGGCCTTTCGGAAACCGAGCCGCTGCCCGTCGTCGTCGTCGTCGTCGTCGTCGTCGTCGTCGTCGTCGTCGTCGTCGTCGCAGCCACTGCCCAAAGCCGGCCTCGGTGGCGTAGACCTTGCTGGACGGAAAGCGGGAGGCCCTGCTGAAGGAGGAGGCCCGAGTCGTCCTGGCAGCGCAGAGGGGGGGATCCCAGTCCTGGAGGAATGCTATGTCTCTGGGGCCTCTCTGGGGCCTCCCAGGGCACACTTGCCGCCACGTCTGGATCCGCCCCGAAGTTCTGGCCGGAGCGCGCCCGTGGACAGGTCCTGGGATCGACTCAAAGGCCTCGGCGCCAGACGTCCTCGGCCATGAAGAAATCCGCCGATCCATGTCGGCGTGTGTGAAACGTTTTTCCGTTCGAGTCGCCGTCGCCACTCTCCCCCTTTTCTTCCTCGAGGGACCCAGCCAGACGAACATCGAACAACGTCGTAATCGAGTCAAAGGGAAGCCTATTCTCTTTGATCCCTTCCCCGCGCCGTGGAGGTGGAGTCGCCGGGGGGGATCGAGTCGAAAGGAAGGCCCTTGATCCCTTCCCCGCTGGGGGGGCGGGTGGGCGCTCCCGGGAGGGAATCGCTTGGGGCGGTCCCGGAGGGGGTCCAGGTGGGGGCCCCGAGGCTCACAGGGCCCTCAAGGGCTCCCACGAGGGCTCGCGAGCGTCTTCGTCGTCGCCGTCTCCCATCAAGGTCGGCGGGGCCCCCCGTGAGGCCTTCGCAATACGTGCAACTGCCGGCCCGTGGGGAACCGCTCGGAGACCCCCTTTCCCCCCCCACACGAAAACACTCGCGCAGCGTGGGAGGAGCCGCGGAGAATGCTGGAAGTCACAAAAGTGCCGTGGCCACGAAGACTATATAGAGGAGAAGGATGGGGTGCTCTTCAGGCGAGGCCTGAATCTCTCCAGGTCAGCTCAAGCAGAAATCTGCCCCCGCGAAAGAGAGGAGAGAAGGGAAATGGACGGGGCGGAAAAGGGCGAGAACGGAGGAGAGCGGGCGACACGATTGCCCAAACGCAGAAAGCCTGAACAGGAACATGAGCAGCACGTGTCCCGCGGGCAGGGTTGAGTCCGGCTGGGTTGCAGTGCGGCCATAGGTGCGGGCACCAGGCAAGTATCGTGCCGTCGCGTCGTGGAATGAGGCCGACGAGAAAGGAGGAACCTTCAGCTCGCCGTCGCTCGGCCGTCCATTTCCCGTGCATTTTTCGGATTCGTGCGTTTTTTGTTTGTTCGTCTGATGATCCAGGATGCTCCTCGCTGGTCCCCCCCGAGAAAAAAAACGCACACGTCCGAGCGATGCCAAGTCAGGGCCAACGGGCTGGGTTCAGACGAGGCTCGACCGACAATGTAGACGCGCGAAGGAAGCACGGGCACCTGACAAGGTCTCTCCGGGGCGTTTGGAGGTCTCGGGAGGCCTCGCAGGCCTCCAGGGGCCGGGGGAAAGCCCCAAGCCTCAAACGACCTCGAGCTCCGATCCTCGAACCTCCAGGTTGCAGGTGATTGCTCTTGTGGCAGTCAGAGATCCCTGCATGTTTCAACTCCTTTCAACGGCAAGGCCGCCAACCAAGAATCGGTGCTGAAGGTCGCAATCGTCCTGTTGCGTTTCGTTGCGTTCCGTTCCTCAGCTCCTCAAGAAGCCACGGGGGTGTCGAGAGGCTCGGGGGCCCACGCAATGAGAACGAAAACCACGCGCAGGGGGCCTGGGACCGCGCGCGCGTGACAATCCGCTCCCACCCCGTACCCCGCTGGCCCTCATTCGGCACACCCCTTTCTTCTTCTTACCCGAAGAACCCGCGGCCCAAGGTGCCCCTAGGATTTCCAGAAGCGGCCCAGTGGGCCTCCATAGCACCTCTCACGAGGCCCAGAGGGGCCCCCAAATAAGGAGCAAGATAACCATGCGCATGCACCGATTTTGGCCAGGCCTGTCCTAGGCCCAGGACCGGTGCATGCGCATTCCTGGCTTGGTTAGGGAGACACACACATATATATGTTTATATGTATATGTATATGTATGTGTATATGTATTTGCATATGTATATGTATATGTATATATGTATGTATATGCATATGTATATGTATGTATACATGTATGTATGCATGCATGCATGTATGTCTGTCTGTCTGTCTGTCTGTCTGTCTGTCTGTCTGTCTGTCTGTCTGTCTGTCTGTCTGTCTGTATGTATGTATGTATGTATGTATTTATGTGTGTATGTACGTACGTACGTACGTACGCACGTACGTACGTACGTATGTATGCATGTATGTATGTATATATGCATGCATGTGTATGTGTATGTGCATGTGCATGTATATGTATATGTATATGTATATGTATATGTATAGGTATATGTATATGTATATGTATATGTTTATATTTATGTTTAGGTACATGTATATATTTATGTTTATGTATATGTGTATGTCTATATCTATGTATATGTGTATGTATACATGTATGTATGTATGTGTTTATGTATGTATGTAGGTATACACATATATAAACACTTTGTATTTTCTATAATTCTACAATCTGGGGGGGTGCACCCCCCCCTCCCGAAACGGGACCCCCGGGATCCGTGGCACGGGGGGAGGCCAGGAAATTTTGTCAAGGCGTGCACGCAGGCGGGTGGCAGTCCCAAATCGATCGGCGAAAGGCTCAAGAGCCACCCAAGATGGTCCAGGATGGCATCCAGCTAGCCTTGACCCCCGCCGGATGCCCGAAGATCACCCCAATGTCACCCCAAAGAGGCGTTCGAACCCCGAAAACATCGATGTTTCATTGGTTTTTGTATGATTTTCGGATACTCGCTAATTCGGCCTTCCACGCGTCCGAGAAGGTTGGAAACGCACTGACAACCGCTCCTAGACGGCCCGACTGAGCCCCATGAGCGCCCGAAGCGGTCCCGAAACTGCCCACGAGAATCCCCATGACCGCCCAAAACTGACCCCACGACGGCTGGCGCAAGGCCTTAGAGACGCCACAAATGCTCGAAAGCGCTTCGAATGTCATCTGCAAGAGGCGCTCGAAACACTGAACATCTTGTTTTTTTCCTGTGGTTTTTGTATGCTTTTCGACTATGTCCTCATTCGGCTTGCCAGGCGTCCGGGAACGCAGGCGAGGCACCGAAAACCTTTCCCGACACCAGAAAAGCCGTACGGGGGCCCAAGACGGTTCCTAAACTGCCCACAAGCGGCCCCATGACCTCCCCAAACTGACACCAAGGCGGCCAGCGGAAGGCCCAAGACACGCCCAAGACGGTCCAAAATGGCATCAAATTGGCCTTGGCCCTCGTCGGATGCCCTGAGGCGACCCGAAAGGTACCTCCAAGACGCGCTCGAATCAGAAAAAACACGGATGTTTCAATGATGTTGTAAGATTTGCTACCATTCGTTCCTTCGGCCCGCCGGGTGTCTGGAAACATTGTCAAAGCTCCGAACACCGCTCCAACTAAACCCAAACGTGCTTCCCGAATCCCCAAAGCGGCCCCACGAGGGCCCAGGACGGCCCCCTGCCCATGGGCGGCGCCCTGACGGCCAGGGGATGCCCCAACACGAGCCAACTCAGCATCCTCACTCTTTCGGAAGGCGCCATGAGAGCCCTAGGGGACTCCCAAACTTCCCATAGGCGGCTCCATGACTGCCCGGGGACACCGTCTGGACGCTCCTCAACAGGGCCACCCAGGAATCCCACCAGCCCTTTGGGCGTGAGTGGTTTAGAGAGCCCGCTCTGTTCTCAACCCCCTTCTTCCCCCTCGGGGAGGGGTTTACCCCTCCCCCTACCCCCTCCCCCTGGACCTGGAGAGGGGGTTTCGCGGGTCGTTGGAGGGGTCTTTTTCGACTCCTGGGAGGGCTAAAAAACGACACCCCTCACGAGGATTCTGGCCCCGACGGGGGGAGGCAGAAAAAAAACCCTCCTCTTCTTTGAAGCCAGAATTATTGATTTTACTACGGTTTTGGCCCCATTTTCGCCTTCTGAGGGGGCAGCGCTCATTAAAGCTCCCCTCTTCTTTCCAGGCAAAATCATGGATTTTACGAAGGTTTTGGGTTCATTTTGCCCTTCTCAGGGGGCAGCGCTCATTAAAGCTCCCTTCTTCTTTGATCGATTCCCTCCAAGATGGCCCCAAGAAGCGCCCAGGAGGCACCAAGAGGCCCCAAGATGGCCCCAAGAGGCCCCCAGGAGGCCCCCAAGAGGCCTCCAAGAGGCCCCCAAGATGCCCCCAAGAGGTCTCCAAGAGGCCCCAAGAGGCTCCCCCGAGGCACCCAAGACGCTCCTGGAAGCCCCTGGGGCCGCCAAGAGGCCCCCAAGACGCCCCAAACGGCCTCCAAGAGGCTCCCAAGAGGCCCGAAGAGGCTCCCCCAAGGCACCCAAGACGCTCCTAGAAGCCCCTGGGGCCGCCAAGAGGCCCCCAAGACGCCCCAAAAGGGGACGAGGTGCCCGAACGCCTCACGCCACGAGGAGCCCGAACGACTCACACCAGGACGAGGGGCCCGAACGACTCACACCACGAAGAGCCCGAACGACTCACACCAGAAGGAGGGGCCCGAACGACTCACACCAGGACGAGGCGCCCGAACGACTCACACCACGAGGAGCCCGAACGACTCACACCACGACGAGGGCCCCGAACGACTCACACCACGAGGAGCCCGAACGAGTCACACCAGGAGGAGGGGCCCGAACGACTCACACCAGGACGAGGGGCCCGAACAACTCACACCACGAGAAGCCCGAACGACTCACACCAGGACGAAGAGCCCGAACGACTCACACCACGAAGAGCCCGAACGACTCACACCAGGAAGAAGGGCCCGAACGACTCACACCAGGACGAGAGCTTTCTCTCCCTCCTCCTTCGCCTCGTCCTTCTCCCGCTCCCCCCACAAGGAGGATGTACAAGGAGGCGGGAGGAAGGAGGAACAGGGGAGATATGCGGGGGCAAGCGGACACACGCCTGAAAAACACGACTGTCGGCATGCTTCGCAAGAGTTGCTGTTGTGAGATGGGCTGGTGGGGATACGCGAAGCGTAAAGAATTCCAGCTCTCCAAGGCGTCATCTCAACGTTCACCAAGCGTGCAAACGGGCGAGCGGCAGTCCCAAGACGCCCCGAGGACAGTCCGAGGTGGCTCCGAGATGGGTCACAAGGCCCTCACACCGCTTCGGTATGCCCCCATGTAGATCCTTGAGTTCTCGCCCGCTCAGATGGTATTTCGTTACCAAAATCCGCAGTTTGCTCACAACCCCAGGTTCGCAACAACTTTTCTGGAAATTCTGTTGCGCACCCAGGACTTTACCAGTTTCCATTCATGCCATTCTGTACGCCCGTGGTCTCCGACTCACAGTCTTTGCCCGTCCTAAATTGACTGCCCCCTTCTCCCCTTCCCCCGCTTCTCCGTGATACGAGCGAGCGAGTACGCCACAAAGGGAGAAGAGGAAGGCGCGACAGGCCAACCGCTCCAAAGCTTCAAGGAACAAGTTGCATGGCGCGAAGCGCCAATGCAGCCTTGTATATATATATATATGTATAAATAAATAAATATTAAACAAAATCCAGGGTTGCCGCCCCCACACCCAATTCATATGGGATCGAATCCCCCCTCCCGCGCTGGATGGATACGCCCGTGAGCCTTTCGACGGCCTCGCGAATGGTACCGCTGACCCCCCCCCCTGTGGTCGTGGCCCTGTGGTCGTGGCGTGGTGGAGGGTGCAAAGTGCCCCCCCCCCCCCCGCCTGCGGATGTGGGGTGGTTCGGCGTCGTTGCGTCATCGTCGTCGTCGTCGTCGTCGTCGTCATCGTCGTCGTCTTCCGTCGTCGTCGTCGTCGTCGTCGTCGTCGTCGTCGTCGTCGTTGCCTTCCGTCTTCCGTTTTCCGTCGGCGTCGGAGTCGGCGTCGTCGTCGACGTGGTCGTCGTTGTTGTCGTCGTCGTCGTCGTCGTCGTCGTCGTCGTCGTCGTCGTTGCCTTCCGTCTTCCGTTTTCCGTCGGCGTCGGCGTCATCGTCGACGTGGTCGTCGTCGTCGTCGTCGTCGTCGTTGTCGTCTTCCGTCTTCCGTCGACGTCGGCGTCGGCGTCGTCGTTGCCGTTGTATACTCACTCCTGAAAGCTAATGGCTGCTGATCTCCGGAAACGGCTCCGCGCGCTCTCGCCCCGACGCTGGCTGCAATTCCTCTGCAAGTGAGGCTCCCGCTCGAGCGCGGGCTTGATTGCAAATGTGTGCCCTTGGAGGCCTGGCTACGACGACGACGGCTCCCGCTCGATACGTCCTCACAATTTCCCAAGACACCCTGGCCAGAGAGTCCCCCGGACTCAGCAACGGCAATCTCGCTTGAGACAGCCTCGCAATTTCGTCAAGTTGGTGGAGGCCCAGTCACGACGACAAGGGCGCCTGCTCGATACTTCCTCATGGTTTCCTCCGAGAGCCCCTGGCCAGGAAGGCTGCCGAACTCAGGGGCGGTGCTCCCGCTCGAGACTGTCTCGTGATTCAGTCAAGTTGGTGGAGCCCAACAGCGACGACAAGGGCTCTTGCTCGATGCTTTCAAGTGTACTTCCACAGGCCCTGGCCAAAAAGGTCCTCCTCCTCCTCCTCCTCCTCCTCCTCCTCCTCCTCCTCCTCCTCCTCCCCCTCCTCCTCCTCCCCCTCCTCCTCCATCGGCGGTGCGCCGAGGGGGGGCGAGGGGCAGAGGGGGCCGGCCTTGCCAGAGGGAGGCGGGCCTTCCCAGAAGCACCTCTTCCTGGCGGCCAACACACTCCTCCTCCTCCTCCTCCTCCTCCTCCTCCTCCTCCTCCTCCGCCTCTTCCCCCTCATGGCTGCTCCTGGTCCTCCTTCCTCCGTCCTCTCCTCCCTCTCCTCCTCCTCCTCCTCCTCCTCCTCCTCCTCCTCCTCCTCCACTGCTGCTGGAGACATGGCGAGGGAGGCCGACGGAGCGTCCTCCTCTTCGAGTTCCACTGCTTCCCTGCGGGGGCGATGAAGCAACAGAGAAAGAGGTCGAATCATGCCGCACTCCGCTGGTCGGGGGCCTAGAAGAAAACAGTTCGCTACACAGGCTTGTGTCTGCTCGATTAATGAATTTGAATCCTGGGATGAACACTTTCAGCGCAGAGGCTCTAGATCGAGCCCACAAGGTGGAATTGAAAATCTGAATGCCGCACTCGCGGCATTAACACATCGAGAGATCAACATTTCAGTCTGGGACTTCCCAAATGGAATAACATGAACTGATAATTCTCATGGCGTCGATAATCTTACAATCTGCTCCGCACTCGAGTTTGCACACGTGTGCCCTCAAACAGGGCGGGTGGGTCAAGCAAGCGAACCCGAACGGGCGGGCGTGCCATAACGGGCAGGCTGGGTCGGGGGGTCGGGCCGAGCCGGGCGAGCAAGGCAACATGGTCCTCTTCTCCCCATGATCCTCCACCTCCTCCTCCTCCTCCTCTTCCTCCTCCTCCGCATCACCAACATCACCGTCGTCGCCCGCCCGCCCGACCTGGCCCACCCGACCAGACGCGATGGGGCGCAACTTCTTCATGTTCCGCCAGCCTGACACGTCGTGCCCTTCGCCCCGGCTCCCTCGATCAGACTCGACCAGGGCTTCACACTTAGGAAGCCCGCAAAGGACGTACGCGCCCAGCTATGTACATGAACACAGCCCCTCGATCTGCGAGACTGGCCGCGTGATACGAACATTTGCGCAATGCGTACTCTCGAAACCAGCGTGGCTTCATGTACGTGTACGTCCTTCTTTCGCTCCTGAACACTGCAATCCCCCACCCAACCGAGCCGCCCGCCCGCCTGAGCCGAACCCTTCGGCCGCACGTGACGAAGCCCCTCGCCTTTCACGTGGAGCCCAGCTCACGTGCCCCGCCCGCGTGCCCCGAATCAATCGGCCAAGCTCCAATCGAGCCGTGCACTTGAATCTCCCGCCCGCCTGACCCGCCCCGCGCGCTGGCCCGCTACGCCCGACCGCAATCGAGAGAGAGCTCCGTGCTTCACTGTCCCGCCCGACCGACCCGCCCCGCCCGTCGACCAGCTCCGCCCGGCCACAGCAGAGAGAGCCCTGCACCTGGATCTCCCGCCCGCCCAGCCCGATCCGCTCCCAGGGCCCGCTCCGCCAGACCGAACCCGAAAGAACCCTACACTCGCATGCCCCGCCCGCCAAGCGGGCCCCGCCCGTTGGCCCCGCCCCCCCTGCCACACTCGATGGAGATCCGCACTTGCGTGTCCCGCCCGGCCCGCCCTGCCCTTCGCCCTGGCTCGCCCGACCAGACTCGATAGGGCCCTGCACTCTCGTGTCCCGCTCGCCCCATCCGTCCCGCACGCCCGACCCGCCGGACTCGGCCGCCAGGGTCGCGGAAGAGCTGAAAACAAGAACGGCAAGGCAGAGGAGGAGACAAAGAGGGAATCTGGCAGAAAATACGAACGCACCGAGACTGAATAACTGGCGTAGTTGAGATCGACAATCCGGACCCCTCTGGGTCTGAAAACACCCAACAAACTTGACAAAACACGCCTCTTTTTCAATTTCTGCATACTCAGAAGAGGCGCCGGACACGCAAGGCCTCCAAACCCCCCCGACGCCTCCCGAGACCTCCGGAGAAGTCCGTGGACCTCCGTGCACGTCGGTAGACCTCCGGGGACCTGCAGGGGGGCGGCGCGGGCCGCACAGGAACGTCGCTCGGAGGCCTGGCTGCCGCTCACCGACATGCCCGAGATTCGGAATTTCTCTCGGAATCGGCGTCGGTGTGCGTGTACCCCTCGGTCGGAAGAAGCGGGTAGAAACACGAAGCAGGAGGGCGTTGAATGTAGATCGGGCTCTGTCCGCCCCCTCGGGAGGACGGAAAAGGTAAAGCCATTCGATCACTGAAGGAGGAAGGCGCTTAACGTATATTGGAATGTGGGAAGACAGGAATACCTACTTTCAGCGACCGATGGGCAGCTTGCGTCCCCCAAACATCAGGGGCCTTCGAGACAGCGACAGGGCGCTGACGAAGAAAAAGACGAGGGACCAGGAGCTGCAACGTCTGCGACAGGGCATGGCATCCTTTGGGAATGGAGCCGCCCCGCGCCAGAGCCGCTCCCCCGTAGGATGGATCCAGCTCTGAACAGGCGCACCCGATCCCACTGTTATTTCTGCCACGAAGAGAGCAATCTCACAAGCTACTTTTTTTTGGTCGGCGGGTCGGGCGCGGGCCCCTTCCGGTCAAGAGCTAAACGGGACGCGGGTAGCCCTAATTAGGGAGACAGGGCGCGGGCGGGCGGGGCCTCAGGCGGCCGGAGGGCTCAGAAAACAGGCGGTGCCGAAGATCTTGCACGGGAAAAGGTGCGCCATGGACTGGATCAGGGGGCGCGGTCCCGCAGGGAAAGTGGAATGGTGTTCTCACAAGCTACAGGCGGGGCGTAATCAAATGGAACCTGGGGTGTGAGACCGATATGAGTCGTGCTGTGCTGCCGCGCCCGGGAAATCGTTTCGTCTCGGGCGTGGCGTGCGTGCGGGCGAGGCGGAGCGACCCTGCGCGGACTCCTGGCCCAATAGAGGCCAAACCAAACCAAAATGAATCGCCGGGTCTGGGCAATGGTCCGCCGGCTGTCCCAATTGTCGGGCAACCGTGAAAACAGATGGCGCCCCACAGACCGTGAGCCGAACGATCATGAAAACACAGAGGCTCCCAAGGCCCATGAGCGGAACAACCAACAAAACATGTCGCTTCTTGTGGCCCAAGGACGGAACAACCGTGAAAACAATGGGGTCCTGAGTCCCGTCAGCTGAAGCCGCGTGCTTCTACATAATCCCTTTTCGCCCGGAGGCCTCGGGACCCACCAAACACATGGGTCGCTTTCGCCCGTGAGCTGCAGGCATACGTTTTTACGTGGTTTCTTTTCGCCCACAAGCCTCGGGACCCCTAAAACACACGGGCCCCTTTTGCCCGTGAGCCCAAACAGTGCGCTTTTGTACGGTTGCCTCGATGGTTGCCCCGACGGTTGTACTGGCAGCTGTCCTGATGGTCCCGATGGTTGTCCTGATGTTTCTCCCGATAAGTAGATGTTATAATCGATATACGCGCATATATACACATGCATTATATATATGTATAGATGGTGTTATCAATGCAGAGATCCACCACCGTGCCCCTGTGGAGCGAAGTGGAATGTCCACAGGTCCCTTGCTCAACCCCTGGGCCTCAGTTCTCAGTCCCGAAGATTCTTCCGGGGGGCCGGACCCCTTGCTCTCAAATCCGCCGGTCTGGCGCGTGAGTTTGAAGGAGCCTCAGCTACAGTCTCGAGGCTGAGGCTGAGCTTCAGCCTCTGGGGGGGTTGCCGGGGTGGCTCTGCCGGGGAAGGAGGGGAGGGGGGGAGGGACGAGTTTTCCGGAGCTTTCCGGGGGCTGGTTCTTCAGAAGACTACAGTCTCGAGGATTCGTCGAAAGAGTGGTCGCGGTCGCAGAGGCTTCTGGAGACGGTCCAAGAGAACCCCGAAACCCTCAAAGATCGCCCGAAGACGCCCAAGATGGCCCCAAGACGGCCCAAGAGACCTCCAAGACGTCCCAAGAGGCCTCCAAGAGGCCTTCCACAAGGTCCCCAAGAGGCAGACATTGTTGATTTTCATTTGTTTTTTCCCAACCGTCCTGTGGTGTTGGGTACTCGTTTTGAATAAAGCAGTGTGGTCTCCACCTCCTCCTCCTCTCCTCCTCCTCCTCCTCCTCCTCCTCCTTCTCCTCCTCCTCTTCCTCTCCTCCTCTCCTCCTTCTCTCCTGTTTCCTGTGTTCCCTTCTCCTCTTCTCTCGTGCCGTCTGCGATCTGCGCAACTGTCGCCACTTTCGTGGGCTCCTGGAAGGCCAAGCGGATGTGGGTCCCACGCGGACCACCTCGGGACCTCGCCGCCCCCTGGGGGGCTTGCGATCTGCGCAACTGTCGCCACTTTCGTGGGCTCCTGGGAGGCCCAGCGGAGGTACGTCATACGCTGACCACCCCGGGACCTCGCCGCCCCCTGGGGGGCTTGCGATCTGCGCAACTGTCGCGACTTTCGTGGGCTCTTGGGAGGCCCAGCGGAGGATGGTCCCACGCAGACCACCTCGGGACCTCGCCGCCCCCTGGGGGGCTTGCGATCTGCGCAACTGTCGCCACTTTCGTGGGCTCCTGGGAGGCCCAGCGGATGTGGGTCCCACGCGGACCGCCTCGGGACCTCGCCGCCCCCTGGGGGGCTTGCGATCTGCGCAACTGTCGCCACTTTCGTGGGCTCATGGGAGGCCCAGCGGAGGTGGGTCCCACGCGGAACCTTGGGACCTCGCCGCCCCCTGCGTGCGCAACTGTCGCCACTTTCGTGGGTGTCCCACGGGATCACCTCGGTACCTCGCCGCCCCCTGGGGGCTTGCGATCTGCGCAACTGTCGCCACTTTCGTGGGCTCCTGGGAGGCCCAGCGGAGGTACATCCCACGCGGATCACCTCGGTACCTCGCCGCCCCCTGGGGGCTTGCGATCTGCGCAACTGTCGCCACTTTCGTGGGCTCCTGGGAGGCCCAGCGGAGGTACGTCCCACGCGGACCACCTCGGGACCTCGCCGCCTCCTGGGGGGCTGCGATCTGCGCAACTGTCGCCACTTTCGTGGGCTCCTGGGAGGCCCAGCGGAGGTACGTCATACGCGGACCACCTCGGGACCTCGCCGCCCCCTGGGGGGCTTGCGATCTGCGCAACTGTCGCCACTTTCGTGGCTCCTGGGAGTGCCCAGCGGAGGTACATCCCACGCGGATCACCTCGGTACCTCGCCGCCCCCTGGGGGTCTTGCGATCTGCGCAACTGTCGCCACTTTCGTGGGCTCCTGGGAGGCCCAGCGGAGGTACATCCCACGCGGATCACCTCGGTACCTCGCCGCCCCCTGTGGGGCTTGCGATCTGCGCAACTGTCGCCACTTTCGTGGGCTCCTGGGAGGCCCAGCGGACGTACGTCCCACGCGGATCACCTCGGTACCTAGCCGCCCCCTGGGGGGCTTGCGATCTGAGCAACTGTCGCCACTTTCGTGGGCTCCTGGGAGGCCCAGCGGAAGTACGTCCCACGCGGGTCACCTCGGTACCTCGCCGCCCCCTGGGGGTCTTGCGTTTGCGCAACTGTCGCCACTTTCGTGGGCTCCTGGGAGGCCACGCGGAGATACGTCCCACGCGGATCACCTCGGTACCTCGCCGCCCCCTGGGGGGCTTGCGATCTGCGCAACTGTCGCCACTTTCGTGGGCTCCTGGGAGGCCCAGCAGACGTACGTCCCACGCGGATCACCTCGGTACCTCGCCGCCCTCTGGGGGTCTTGCGATCTGCGTAACTGTCGCCATTTTCGTTGGCTCCTGGGAGGCCCAGCGGGGGTAACTCCCACGCGGTGACTGGGTGCTCCTGCTTATCCTTGAGGCCGCGACCTATTGCTTCCACTTTTGGGTTCTTTTCTTTGGGTTCGCTGCCGTGCCCTTTTGTCTCCACTTTTGGGTGAGTCTCCGCCCCCGTTATGCACCTGCACCCTCTTTCAGCAATGCATGTCTATAGGACAACCGACGTGGTGCAGCATGCGTGGTGCAATCTGTGTATCTATGCGATGCGCAATCTATGTGGCGCAACCCATGTAGTGCAATCGTCGTGGCGCATCATATGGTTTTTTTATCAAAACAACTTGGAGTTGTCAACTCCACTGCTCGCCCAATCATCCCACCCGCCCACCCGCAACTTGGTTTGTAGTACCCATGCGGCGGCGATTGCGATGAGTGCTTGGTGCTGGCTGGTGCATCTCTGCGGCCGCGTTAGCCTGCACATGCTCGTGCGCGCAGCAGCCAGCTTGTTTGGCGCGACCGATATGGCCGCGGTGACACTGATCGCTGGGCACTTCCTAGCGGGCACGTCTGTGCGAGTCGGTGACCTGGGCGGGCGCGGTTCGACACCGGTAGACACGACGATGATAGTAGCGATGACGGTGACGATGATGGCGATGTCGACGGCAAGGCCAAAGACGGCGCCGAGGCTGATCACGCCGTCCTCGCGCCGGTGATGAAGGTTTTGGAAGGGGTTTGACATGCACGTCCGGCCGACGGGCGCGGCTGGCCCGCAAGGTGTGGTTTGAAAGGGGTCGTGCCCAAGAGGCCCCAAGAGGCCCCCAAGATGCCCCCAAGAGGCACCAAGAGACCCCAAAGAGGCCCCAAAACGGCCCCCAAGAAGCTTCCAAACTGCCTCCAAGAGGCTTCCGAGAGGCCTCCCACGAGATTCCAACGAACACCCACTGGGCTTATGAACCGCAACCCAGACACGGTGGCGGGACTTGCCAGAGACAGCTGGATGAAATTGCAACGCCTGGGTCCGAAGGAAGTCAGCTCCAAGGCTGCTGCTTCACTTGTGTCAGCAGGCAGCGGAGAGAGGCGCAAGGGGGCGGGGCGGGGGGCCCAGGGCACAGTCTGAGGGCCCGAGCGGTGCGTCCTGCGGACCGCGCGTGTGGGCAGGCACTGCTGACGAAGCAAGCCCTCGCCCCGATCCTCTCGCTGTACATGGCCGCGGTGCTGCTGCTGTGCCCAGATTTCGGCCTTCGGGGGTCCTCGTCGGGCCTCGGGACCGCCCCCAAAACGCATCGAGCTAAAAGGTCTGACCGGGGGAAATGGTCGGGACTTCGACGAACCCCCTATCAAAAAATGAAGGCGTTGGATGTCTGGGGCCAGAGGGAGCAGTGGTTTGGGTACGGCGGGCTGGTGTCGTGCCGACCCAAGCGTTAGTTTCTGACGCAATGCGGATCGTTCAACTCCCAGCGATCGGCGGCTTTTCGACCGCGACACCGCTCCACATTGGCAATCTCTGGGCCAGCGGCGGCGTGCAACCTCCGACGCCCGCGCTGGGGGGTCGCAGCCGCGCCGACACGACACGAACCTACCGTGTGGCTCTTTGCCTGGCCTCCGTGGCGCAGATCTTGAAAGCCACGAGTCCGCAACACTCGGAGGCACGCACAAGCACAGAGAGAACATTTACCTCAGGGGCTGCGGCTACATGACTTGCACTGGGGATCTTGCTGGTGCCACTTCGGTGAGCAACTTCCCCGTGCACTTGCCTAATCCACAGCCCTGTCCAATTCGGACGTGCACGGACTCCATGATGCAGTCTTCTTCCTTTTCCGCCCTCCTCCTCATCCAACTCCTCCTCAACTCGCTGATGCTGCTGCTGCGCCTCCCCCTTCTCCCTCAGATCCTCCTCCTCGTCCTCCTCTCCTCTTCCTCACCGTCTACTTTGTCCATCTCCTCCTCCTTCTCCGTCTCGTGTGACTGGCGCCGCGGGGAGGGGGTGGGTGGGCGTGGGGGCGCCTCAACGCAGGGCTGGGGGGGCCTCCCGCCCTGCCCCCCCCTGACCCCCGCGGAGCCGAAGCGCCCTCGGACCGCGAGCCCGCTGCCCCCGAAGACCGTGCCCGGGGTGCCCCGGCCGGGGCACGTCCGAGCCCGGGGCCCGGCAGGCCCCGCAGGGCCCTGCAGGAGCCTGCAGGGCCCTGCACGCCGACCCGCATCGGTGCACTCCTCGTGGACGCCCGAAGCGGGTGCGGAGAGGCTCGGTGCAACGCCCAACAGCGAATGTTGCCCCAAACCGACCGCGGTCGCTGTTGGGCAGGCGGCCTTCTGTCTCATAGGCCGCGACGACACCGACAAAGAGTCCTGCTCAAAGTGAAGAGGAACTGCTGTTGGACTTTGTGTCCATTCTTTCCGCACCCATTCCGATCGTCCCGACTAGTGGCTCTGCAGGATCCTGCTCCGTGCCCGCCATCAAGTGACCCGCCCAGGACTCGAGCCTGGAATCTCGGGCTCCGGAGGCCGACGCCTTATTCATCAAGCCAACGGGCCAGTGGGCTACACCCGACTCGGCGACCTTGCCCGTGGGAATGGATGCGCCGACGGGCGAGGGGGCCCCCGCCTGCAATGCCACCGCGCAACGCCGGGCCACTCCAGAGGGGAGCGGGGGGGGGGCGGCGGCGTGGCCGCGCGAAAAAATTGAGATCCGGCGGTCTGGCGGACCCCCGCTTGCATGGACCGCCATCTCGAAGGCTCCCGACCGTGCCCCGAAGCTCGGCTTCCGGGCCCTAGCTCGGGCCTCTGGCGGCCGTTCGGGACGATCCGGGCACCCCTTCTCCTCCTCCTCCTCCTCCTCCTCCTCGTCCTCGTCCTCGTCCTCCTCCTCGTCCTCCTCCTCCTCCTCCTCCTCCTCCTCCTCCTCCTCCCCTGGACGCTCTCGGCAAGGCGCAGCCGCTGGAAAGCATCCCCGCGCTGGAAAACCGCCGAGATCCGACGGAAGCGTCCGAAAGCATGACAACTCGCAGTTCTACTCTGAAGAGGAGGGGGGAGGAGGCCGAGGGCGGCATTCCCCCCCCCCCCCTGCTCGGCCCTGCTTTGCCCCAGCGGCGGCGTCCAGGGAGGTCGCTGGCTTCGTCTTGAACCGCTCGCACGTGTCGCGCTGCGCGCGCGCCACTCTCGCGCGGCATTCCGCCTCTTTCCCGGGAGGGTGGAGAAGGAGACCCTACGACCTCATCTTCCCCTCCTCCCTCCTCCTCCCCTCCTCCTCTCTCCTCGTCCCCTCCTCCCCCTCTTTCCCTCCTCCTCCCCTCCTCCCTCCTCCCCTCCTCCCCTCCTCCTCCCCTCCTCCCTCCTCCTCCCTCCCCTCCTTGTCACCTCCTCCCTTCCTCCTGCTCTCCCAATCGAGGGGCTGCCGTCGGAAGAGGAGATGCGTTCGTTGCCCTGGCCCACGGGTTATGGGTCATCTGACCACAGGCACACCGACGGCTGTCATGCCTTTGTCCGCCGGCGCTCTTCCCCCCCTCCCCCTCCTCCCCTCCATGGGGCAAATCATTGGGCGCGCGGCACGCACCGACCAAGCTCACCACAACTATGGCGAGCTCTTACTGCGCACGGTTAGCTGCGCGACCCCAATCTGAAGACGACGAAGACGATCGCGACGACGACGAAGACAATGCGCCTACTCGATTGTACTCGAGGAGGGAGAGCGAGGAGGAGGAGGGCGAGGAGGGGAAGGACGAGGAGAGGGAGGACGAGGGGGAGAGCGAGGAGCGCAGCACAAGGAGGAGGGCGATGATGGAGAGCGAGGAAGAGGGACAGCGAGGAGGAGGGCGAGGAGGGGAGCACAGGGAGGAGAGCGAGGAGGGAGAGCGAGAAGGAGGAGGGCGAGGAGGGGAAGGACGAGGAGAAGGTGGACAAGGCAAGGGTGGAGTGGGGCGAGGAGGGGAGCACGAGGAGGGCGAGGAGGGAGAGCGAGGAGAGGAGGGCGAGGAGGGGAGTGACAAGAAGGGGGAGGACGAGCTTTATTCCCAGACGAGAGCTTAAGAGGGGTGTGTGTGTGTGTGTGTGTGTGTAGCATTCGAGACCCTCCGCCCCCCCCTACTCCCCCACCTCCTGCTCCCCCTGCTCCTCCTGGCACCTGGCACCTGATGGCTGCAAGGTTCGTGCGAACCTAGCATGCCATCTCTTCCTCCTCCCTCTCCCCCTCCTCCTCTTCTCTCTCCTTCTCCTCCCTTCTTCCTCCTCCCTCCTCCCTCTTTCTCCGCCGTCTCCTCCTTCTCCGCCTTCTCCTCCTCCTCCTCCTCCCTCCTGCTCCTCCTCCTCTTCCTCCTCCTCCTCTGGCGACGACGACCAGCCCGAAACTTCGACTCCGTCGCCCCGACGACGGCGGCCACGCCAGGCGCGGCCGAGCGCGGCGCAGCGGCGCGGGGCGCACCGCAAAGCGGTAGGCCGGCCCCGCGGACCGGGGTCGGTCGCGGCCGCCTCCCCGCCGCCCCTCGGGAGGGGCCCCTCCCCTCGCAGCCCAAGCCCACGCCGCCGCCGTCCGCCGCCGTCGCTGCCGCTGCCGTCGGCGCTGCCGTCGTCCTCGTCGCCGTCGGTGTCGCCGACTCCGCCGCCGACGCCGCCGTCGCCGCCGCCGTCGACGTCCTCGTCGCCGTCGTCCTCGGCGTCGCCGCCGCTGGCGCTGTCGTCGCCGCCATCGTCGCCGTCGGGGGTAAATGTCCCAAGGTTCTGGATGTGTGTTTGCTCCTTTTGGGCCTCCAGAGCCTCCAAGAGACTCCAGACCCTCCAGCGGTCATCCCGCAGACACCGCAGGGCACACAACGGCACGCCACACGGGGCACAAATTACAGCGAGGCGCCGCAGCAGTGAGTGGTTACTGCGACGGGGCGCCCGCACCATAGCTGGGTTCAGCGGGGCACCTTGGTGCAACTCGCCAGCAGGAGAAGCAGATTGAGCACATCATGCCTTCCCAAGGTGGCTCAGCGGCCATAGGCGCTCATGACAGCTTCACGGGCGCGACGCGCGCTACAAAAAGCACGAAACTTCGATGGCATGGATGGGGAGGCATCGCATCGCCAGCGCGTCCGGGCTTCTGAGGCATAGCACAGTTGGTATATCAGCTGGAAATCGGCCTACCAGCAGGTGCCCCACGGTAATTTGTTACCCCCCGATGGCCCCAGGGACCCACAGAAGCTCCGGGGCACCCTGGGAACCTCACATATCGACGAATAAGGTGCCATGAACGTATGTGCTTACTGTAGATCCACCTAGCAGCACCTCAATTGTGCGGGTTGACGTGCGTAAATCCGCACGAGCTCGAGCATGCGTGCGGCCGCCATGACTTCCAAGCCTTGCCCCTTCTGCGCGCTCAGGCCGACCTTTGAACAGCCAGAGCCCACCATGGCAAGAGCATTCATCCAACGTGCCGCCCCATGCAAGAACTCGAGCATCGGATGCACCCCCTTGGCACGTGTGAAAGTCGCCGACCCCGTCAGCGTGTGTGAGGGTCAGAGGCGTTTCCATTCAGATCCTTCTTTTCTGCGGTAACATTCGGCCTTTCTCCTCATGCGCCCCAGTCCAGAGGAAATCAAGCAATGTCGTAATCATCGGCGCAAAATGAAGCCTCTGCTCTTTGAATCCTTCCCCGGCCGGCCCCCTCCCCCCGCCCCCCCCCCCCCCCTGTCCCCGCGCCGACTGACCTCGACAGTCCCGGGTCATCTGCGGGCCAGTTCGGACTTCTTTCGTCACCTTACGTCCAAGATGGTCCACAAGCGTTCTCAACAACCCAAGATCGCTCTATCATCACCCTCGACGCTCTCGACACATACAAACAAAAACAAGCCAAGCCGCTCCACGAACACTCCCAAAGCTTCTTAAGACAGACACCAGAGGCGAACATCATGCCTGTTCTATTTTTCCTGTATCTCAAGAAGGAGTTTGCAGCTTTGCCTTGTCGGGCTCCCGACTGCCCCAGGAGAGGCCCAAGCAAGGGAACACCAAAGACCTCCCTAGCTCGCCGCCCAACGAGGCCTCCAGGAAAGGCCAATAACCCTTCAAGAAGCACTCAAGAGGCCCCAAGAGGCTCCCAAGAGACCCTCAGGATGCCCCAAGAAGCCCCGCAGAGGCGACGGAGAGGCTCCAGGATATCTCCACGCTGCCTCCACGAAGCTCCCGAGAGAGGCCTGTCAAGAAACCCCGACAAGCGTCCGGAAACCTCTGGCTGCCTTGCTCATGATGGGGCTCGTCTTCCAAGGTCGGCGGCACCAGCCGTAAGGCCTTCTCACCAGCACGTGCCCTGTTGAACAAACTGTCTGGGATCATGCTCTGAGCGTCGCGCTGTGTCGTGGTTTCGGGGTTGGTTGTACGTGTGTCAGCACTGTACTTCTTTAATTTTCTTGTCTGCGGGTATGCCTTGTTTGGGGGCTGCGGGCGCGCGCGCTGTGTCAAATCATCCTGCATTTTGGCAACCGAGGGGGCAGTGCAGCACAAACGTGACGCAGCCATGATCTGAGATGTAAAAGCCTCCCCCTAGGCTGCCTGTATACTCGTCCTTGGGTTCGTACAGCAGGCCGGGACTGCGGCAATGAGAAATTAAACATGAACACCACGAATGCACACTCCCCAAAGAATGCGTGAAGCGAGCTTGGACCAACACCTTGGCATGCAAATCACAGCCCATTTTTCATAGCACGCATGAGCTGGAGCGCTGAAATGCAATTCCAAATTGATCTGCCCGTCACCAAGTCAAGTACGACGTATGACACTTTGCACATGCTATCATTTCATTTGTAATGCCAAACTTGACACGCACGCTCTGTCCCTCCGAGCCTCCTCTGTCCCAATGATCACCTGTTCGACAGGATGAACCTACTGTAGCACTTCCGCTCACAGTACAGAAGCAACCCTCTAAGCATCCATTGGCAGATCGGAGATTGGCCTCTCGTCCAGCAACTTATGCTGCGGGCAGGCTTTCTGTGTCTCGAGGTCCTCAGCACCCGCTGCTTCGCCACCGTGCTTCCCTCTCTCAAAAAAAAGCCCTGCCGAACTGACCCTGAGCTGAGTGGACCATCCTGGGTGCAACATGCACTGGCCCGAGAGACGCGCGGACATCTTGCCAATTAACATTGGGTTAGGACGCTCTGGCCGTCAATACCTTCACAGACAACTTGCACGGCTGCTTTCTATCGTGTCGACGACGCTGGCTTCTCACACCGCGTAGGCCGTCCAAGCTCGAGCGACCTCGGCAATCCAACAGCGGAGATCGTTCTACCACGGAGCTCCTCATAGTCCTCCTCCTCCTCCTCCTGCTCCTCCTCCTCCTCCTCCTGGTCCTCCTCCTCCTCCTCCTCCTCCTCATCCTCCTCCTGCTCCTCCCCCTCCTCCTCCTCCTCCTCCTCCTCCTCCATCTCCTCCTCCTCCTGCTTCTGCTCCTCCTCCTCCTCCTCCTCCTCCTCCTCCTCCTCCTCCGAATCCACTCAGGTCTCGGCGGTGTCTCACTCGAGGCCCCGCGCTCCGAGGCGGTGTCGAACCTGCTGGACTTGCCGAACACCGCGCGCCTCCCGGGCCGCGCCAGCCGAGGTGGGCCAGGAACGCCACCGCGCCGCGGCAACGGGGCCCTCCAGCAGATCGCCACGCTCGCCATCGCTCGGACGTCCATTCCCTGTGTTTTTTTCGGTCTCGTGAGTGGTTTTTTCGCCAAATGATCAAGGATGCTCCTCGATGGTCCCCGACGAAGGAAAAATGCACACGTCCGAGCGATTCCAAGCACGGGGTGGGGTTTTGGTGGGCGGGGCGGCGCCTGGCGGGCAGGGTGGTGCTTGGGGGCGGGGCGGTGCTTGGGGGGCGGGCCACCTTTTTCGACCGCCCTCTCTCTGCCTCTCCTCCCCTCCTGCAGGATGGCACGGTTCGCTACAACGGTACCCCTGTCTGGGTAGCCCTCCGCCAGCGCAGTCAGTTACACTGCCTAGCCACCGACGCGAAAAAAGAGTTTGGTGGGCGGGGCGTTGCTTCGGGGGTGGGGCGGTGTGTTGGGGGCGGGGTGGTGCTTGGCGGGCGGGGCGGTGCTTGGTGGGCGGGCTGGTGCTTGGGAAACGGGGGCGGTGCTGCGTGGGTGTTGCGGAGAAGGCTCCTGAAGGAAACGGGCCCCTGAAACCTTTCCCCGCTGTCGGGCCCGAGGCATCCGGGCGCCGGGGGCGTCAGAAAACGGCCTGGCATGAAGGCCCGATCCCCCGGGGAGGGCGGAGGAGGCGGTGCAGGAGGAGGAGGAGGAGGAGGAGGAGGAGGAGGATGAGGAGGAGGAGGAGGAGCTGGTAGAGGAGGAGGAGGAGGAGGGGGATGAGGAGGAGGAGGAGGAGAAAAAGGAGGAGGACCAGTGTAAACCCAAGAGTCGCCAGCGATGTTGGAATGAACCCTCCCTCCAAGCTCCCTCTTCGTAGGCCCCTACAACGGTTCATTTGCATTGAGGTAACTGCCTCGTTGGAAGACAGCCGTGTGAAGATCCTGAAGTGTGCCAAAACATTGGTCTCGGGATTTCAACGCCACGCATCAACCCGACTGCTGCGTCTTGACGGTCCGGAATCGTGCCAGAACGCCGTTTTTAGGACTTCAACACCGCGAATCAACATAACTATTGCGCCCGCATAATCCAGAATCCTTCCAAAACGCCATTTCTGGTACGTTGATCATGGGAGTCCGTGAAACTCTTGCAAATGTGTAAAATGAATGTGCGCGGCGCGGAAACGAGAACCACATCTTGAAAACGACCCGCCCTCAATCCGTGAAGCTCTTCCAAATTTTCACAACGAATGTGCGCGGCGCTAAGGCAAGATTTTGAAAACCACCCGCCCTCAATCCGTGAAGCTCTAGCATTTTTTTACAGCGAGTGTGCGCGGCGCGGAAGCGAGAACCACATTTTGAAAACGACCCGCCCTCAATCCGTGAAACTCTTGCAAATGTTCTGAACGAACTTGCGCGGCGCTAAGGCGAGAACCACATTTTGAAAACCACCCGTCCTCAATCCGTGAAGCTCTTGCAATTCTTTGCGGCGAACGTGCGCGGCGCGGAAGCGAGAGTCACATTTTGAAAACGACCCGCCCTCAATCCGAGCTCTTGCAAATTTTGGAAACGAATTTTGCTTGGTGCTAAGGCGAGAACCACATTTCGAAAACCACCCGCCGTCAATCCGTGCAGCTCTTGCAATTCGTTACAGCGAATGTGCGCGGCGCGGAAGCGAGAATCACATTTTGAAAACCAGCCGCCTTCAATTCGTGAAGCTCTTGCAATTTTTTACAGCGATTGCGCGGTGCTAAGGCGAGAGCTACATTTTGAAAGCGGCCCGCCCTCCATTTGTGAAACTGTTGTCACTTTTTAAGCTCCACAGTTAGACATGGTAAGGAAGTCTCAAGCGAAACGCCCGGCCCTCCCTAAAAATGGCCTCGGGGTGCGACAGGGAGAAATGATCTATAAGGAGAAAGAATGGAGGAGCTGGGAGAGGAGGAGGAGGAGGAGGAGCAGGAGACAGGACGACTCCCCCAGAGTCCAAGGCCCGTTTCCCTCGGGACGCGCTCCTCAGGGTCTGGACGTCGTCGACGACATCGTCATCGTCGTCGTCTTCGTTGTCGTTGTGGTTCGTGTGTGCCGTCTCACTGTTCGACCGCGCCCTCGGCGGTGAAGCGGGACTCACCATTTTCTGCCAGTGCACATTTGACGTGCAGAGATGCTGTCTCTCTCTCTCTCTCTATCTCTCATTCTCTGGCGATAAGCTGGGTTATCGGGCCCAATACCTGATGACTGATGACTTGGGCTGTCGGATGCGCAGGTCCGAAGGGGGTGGTGCGCAGGGGCCTCACGGGAGGCGCGGTGTTCAACAGCGCAGGGATGCTCGCAGAGGCATGCGGGTGTTCGTGGCTACTTTCAGCAATCCCATACGCTCCGCCGAGGCGCCCTATTTTCTCCTGAGCTATATGCTGGCGCTAGCTGTCCACACCGGTTCCTAGGAGTTGCGGCGCCGGCATCGTCGCAGCACGACTGGTGACATCGTCGTAGCATCGTCAGCAGCAATAGGAGACCCAGACCTGGTGCGTGCGGGTATACGTGAGGCTGCCCAAAGCGAAAAGATTAGGTTACAGGCCTGCCCCCCCGATAACCCGAATTATCGCTGAGAAGTGAAACACATTCTAAAGTCGTACTCCAGATCGTGCCGCATCGACGATGCCTCGCCGATGCGGCGTGGCCCTTCGCACTCCAGCTCCTCCGGCCCCGTCTGCGCGGAACAGTGCGATCGCGCAGCGCCGCCAGAACGCTCGGACTCTTCGGAGCTGCGGCTCTGATGCGAGCACTTGGGCCACGAAAAAACTTACGCACGAGGACGCAACGACCTTGCGCCGCGGCTTACGGGGGCCGCCAGTGTGCCACACCGCGTGGAGAAGAGGGCACTTACGAGCGGCCTTACGCGGGCAAGTGACGCGCGAACGTCCGCGAAGACGATTCTATCTTTCTGCGTCGCGCACTGGCTGTGGGCCTGGCAACATCCGTCAAGAGCGTGTTCTTGACAGCACGTGCGCGCGGGAATCGGTTCTCAACGTTGGTCAAGAGGGCCTCAAGACGGCCCCAGAGGCCACCAAGAGGGATCCAGAGGCCACCAAGAGGGGCCCAAGAGGGGGAACCCAAATTCCACCAGCCTTTTAGGGCGTAGGTGGTTTAGGGTGTTTCCTCTTCCACCCCCTTCTTCCCCTTCGGGGAGGGGTTTACCCCTCCCCCTACCTCCTCCCCTGGACCTGGACAGGGCGTTTCGCGATCGGTCGGAGCGTCCAAAACGGCCTCGGCGAGGAAGCCAAAGCATTGCTTTTACTAGGGTTTGGCCCCATTTTGGCTTTTTGGGGGGGCGACGCTAATTAAGGAACCCTGCTTATTTGATCGATCTCCTCCGAGATGGCCCCAAGAGCGCTCCGAAGGCCCCCAAGGGTGCCCCAAGAGGTGGCCAGGAGGCCCCATGAGGCCCCCAAGAGGCCCCCAGGATATGCCCACAAGAGGCTCCCAAGAGACCCCCAAGAGGCCCCAATAGGCCCGGTTTTGGCCACATTTTGGCCTCCTAGGGGGGGGGCACTGCTTAAGAAGACTCCAAGAGCGTCTGGGAGAGCCCAAGATGACCTCCAATATAGCTCAAGATATCCCAGGATGCCTCAAGATGACTCCCACGATGCTCCAAGAGGCCCCAAGACCGCTCCAAGACGGCTCCACGTGGCCAAAGAGCTCCCCCAGGAGGCCCCGAAGAGGCCAAAATCCTTCCAAAACCTTCAGGAAAATCTATGTTTTTTGGCTTTCTCGCCTCTTCGCTTCCGATGGCCATCCGAGGCCTCAAGATGGCTCCAACATGGCCCAAGAGGGCTCCACAAGAGGGCTCCAAGAGCGCTCCCAAGGCTCCCAAGAGCGCTTCAAGAGGGCCCCAGGAGGCGCCCAGGAGGCCCCAGGAGGCCCCCAAGAGGCCTCCAAGAGGTTCCCTAGAGACCCCCAAGAGGCCCCAAGAAGCTCTCCGAGGGACCCAAGACGCTCTAAGAGGCGTCCGGGACCGCCAAAAGGCCCCAAAGACGCTCCAAGAGGCCTCCACTTGGGGACCCTTCCTGTGTGTGCTGCCCACTTCCCTCATCGAGGCAATTCCTCTGGGCATCTTTTCTGGATGGGATGGTGGGGTTACTTTTTTGGTCGCGTCCGCAAGCGAAGGCGCAGGCGGAATCAGAAGCGTTCCGGGGCGCGGTAACGGCCTAATTAGCTACTGGAAGCGCCGCAGGCCGGCCGGGCCCGCTCACCAGGCAGCTGCTGTGCTGCGCGGGAAAGCTGACAGGCTGAGGGCATCCAGGGAAGCTCGGGCAACGTGCAGCCTAGCAGAATGCCAGGAAATTCGGTGTATGCCATGCGGCATGACCCACTCAGAGAGCGCGAAGACGTGTGCGCAGATGCCTACGCGTCTCACACGCCTGGGGTACGGGATGGTGGGGTTACTTTTTGATTCGCGGCCCGCAAGGAAAAGTCCAGAGGGCGGTGTGAACGTGGTGGGGTTACGCGGAGCGTCTGGACTTGAGATTTCGATTCCTTCCCCCAAAGGTGGCCTCCGAGACTGCCAGAAGGCCCCTAAGAGTTCTCGAGAGGCCCCCCAGACCCTTCCAAAAAGGTCCCGAGAGGCCCTACGAGGCCCCAAAAATGCCGCGAACACGCAAGCAAATGCCACCGATGCTAGAGTCCGGGACGGCGGAATGAACGCAACAATTGAATTCGGCGGGCCCCCTGCGAGCCCTCGCCGTGTTAGGCTTCGAGCGAAGTTGATGAGATGAAGGTGAGATGGAGGATGCTGAGAAGCATGCGTAAAGGCATGCTGAGAGCGGCCTCGCGTACTCCGCGGGCCTCAGCCTCCAGATGACAGATTTTATCAATCACCCCCCAGGGGCACTTCGGAATACAAGTGAAACGTTCCCCCGGTGCTAGGCCTAGGCGCGTGACAGCTCCTGGAACACGCAAAAACACAAGTGAGATGCGCCCACAGGGCTGCGAAAGCCTCGTTTCGGGGCACCCTCACGCATTTCCTCTCTGACATTTCGGGACGCGTAAACATGTGAGTGAGCAGCGCCTTCATGGCTACGAGACTGCCATTTGGGAACACCCCTCACCCATTTCCTGCTCCACACTCTACTGGGGCACGTGAACATATGAGTGATATGCGATCCGAAGGCCACAAGAGGCTCCATTCTAGACACCCTTCTCTTCCTGCCCCATCCTCTACTGGGACTCTTGAAGACACCAGTGATCTGCGCTCTCTAGCATCTGGGTCACACAGAACAAAAAATGATTCGGGGCTCGAGGCCACTGGCAGACGCCCTTCCACTGTCCATGGGGACCTCAATGCGGCACACATTTTTGATCCGCGGGTCGAGAGCGCACCTCTTCCGGTCGAAGCTAAGCGGGCCGCGCGAAGCTTGAATTAGGCAGAGAAGAGGAGGGAGGAAGCGGCGGCGGAGCCTCAGAGCGAGGCCGAGAGGAGGCATAGCCTCGGATACAGGCGGTGCCTCAATTCGGCACACCCCCTCACGCACTTCGTGACTGTTGGGCGCTCCGCTGGCCCCCGAGGCACGGCTCCCTGGAGCCTCGATTCGGCACACCTCTCGCGCACGTCGTGCCCCCATGGTCCCTCCCGAGGCCGTTAGCTGGCCTCCAAGACGGCCTAATCCCCCAAGAGGCACACTGAAGGGGCCCTGGGACACACAAATAAATCCACACAAATAACCAGATTCCCAATATTTTCCCATATTTTCTGCGTTTCTGTCTTCCCCCCACCGCCAATATTTTCCCATATTTTCTGGGGAATCGACGATTACTTGTGTCTGTGCGTTTTTTCCCCTCCTGACACACATACGCCCAAAGAAACCTTGCAACGAATGGTACCGACCCTCGTCGAAACAGTATCCCCAACACCCACGGATCGCCAAATCGGCATGCCAACTTTCCCCTGGGGGCCCGCCGTGACTCCCACTCTGCGGGCTCAACTCATCCGGCTGCGGCAACTTGTGTGCCCCGGGCCTTGTGTCATGCGCAACGGAATGACGAGGAGTAGGAGAACGGCAAGGAGGCGGAGATCGAGGAGAAGGAGGACGGTGCCCTGGGGAGGAGTAGGAGAACGACGGGGAGGTGCAGGAGAGAAAGAGAGAGAAAAAGAGAGAGAGAGAGAGAGAGAGAGAGAGAGCACGAGCCTGCGGGAGCATCGGAGAACGACGGGGAGGCGGAGGAGAGAGGAAGAGCCTGCGGAAGCATCCGTGCCCCAAGGCCCATCGTGGAGCGTCACGAGGAGCTCGGCCAGCCCAGGGAGGAGGAGGAGAAGGAGGAGGAGGAGGAGGAGGAGGAGGAGGAGGAGGAGAGGCCTCGTAGGCGCATGCTCTATGGCCTCAGGGCCCTCATACTTTCCCCACTCTTTTCTCTGCTCTTAGCCTTTCCTCTTCTGCCTTCTGCTGGGCCCGCAAGGCTCAAGTAGTTTGCTCTCGGCCTAAGTTGGCTCTCTGTGCATGTTCTCCGCACCCAGATCGCAACGATCTCTGATCCATGTCCGTGCAACGTGAAACAAAGGGCAGGAGGGCTTGAAAATCCATCATAATACCCAAGGTCTCGATCCGATGAAATCTCGAACGCGGCCCAGGGCTTCGTCAAGACGTCACCGTGACCGTCAGCTCCGCGGATATGATATTTGCCGGAGCTCGCTTCACGGTTGGGACGATTTCAGGTGATCACGGATCTGCCAGCGGCGTTCATCGTCCCTATTCTCCACCATCTTCCCCCTCCTCCGTCTCCTCTTCCACTTGTTGTTGTCACTGATGGCATGAGATCCGATGATGCGGCGCTGCCCACCCCACGCCAACTTCCCCTTTTTTATCGGTTGGCTGAGTGGACACATCCTCCAGCATCTCCCGATATATCTCCTTTACGTAACACCCTCCGTCTTGCGAGCCGCAGCCCCTGACCCAGACCGAAGGGAACACAAGCCTCGGGGCCAGGAAGCTGTCCAGCGTCTTCAGGACGGGAGGCCTGGCGCCCCTCCTCCACGGAGCCTCAGGCCCGCGGGGTGCCACCCCAGGCCCTCCAGCGGGCCAGAGCGGTGAACGGCAAAGCCATGACGGGAGCGGTTGGCAAGAGGTCGCGCACGCTGCTGTTCGCGCTGCAAGAAGGCAAGGCTTGGAAGCACGACCCAGCCTACGCGGCCCGCGAGCTTCCTCTCAGAGCGTGGGCGAAGGCAGTGTTCCTCCAGCACAGGCCAGAGGCGGCTGTCAAGATGGCCATGGAGGCGAATATTGACGCCTGGGGGGAGGTCACTGGCCCTGCAGGAGCGGTTCTCCTCTCGCTGAAGCGGATCGGCTGGCAGCAGCTCGCGTGGGACCAACGGATGGACGACCGAGGCCAAATCATTGATCTGCGACTGCTGAGCCCCCGCACGGTGTCCAGCCTTATCGAGGCGGGGGTGTACCGCTACCTGATGAGGGAGGTGACCAAGCACCCAGAATTCGATCAGCTGGAAGACAAGGCACCCGACATCGAGCCGTTCTGCGTGGCGCTGGTTGAGATGCACCAAGAAGGCAGGTTCGAGGATGTCGCGCTGCTGGAGGCCCACATCGCAGGAGGGCTGGTGACGCAGAGCGACCTGTACGACGAGCGTGCGGTGACGAGCCCGTCTTACCAGTGGTGCGGGTGCCAGACGGGCACGGCGTTCCACCGCCTCTTTGCCTGCCTCGCCATCCAGACCAGGGCGGAGGAGCTGGGATGGCAGAATGTCGCTGAAGCGGGCAAAGCTGCTGCCGAGAACGACCTGGGGATGGCACGAGGAGTGCTGAGCCTGGGCCTGGACAGGGTGCCGAAGCCCAGCATGGAGGAGCTCTGCCACAGAGCATGCGTGGCGCGCAGCGACTACATCGGATGAGTGATCCGCATCGACGGATCGGCCATGTGCCCGACAGAAACCAAGCTCACGAGGACGGGCTGGGCAGCCGTGATGGTGGACGACGTCGGGCAGGTCCTCGGGGGGATGCTCGGCTGCACGCCTGGGTGGATCCAGGAGATCGGGTAAGCGGAGCTGAACGCGTTGCGCAGGCTGCTGCAAGACGTTGGATCATAACCCGTGGTGGTCTGCTCGGACTTTAAGGGGCTCCTGGACGACTGAGAGCGAGGAGAGGAGCAAGGCTGCGGTGCCACGCACACGTACGCGGACCTGTGGCGAGACGTTCGCCACGAGGGGGGAGCTCGGGCCCGAGTTCCTCGGCCTCGGGTGGATGAGGGTCCACCCAAGCTGGGCGGAGGCCAGCAGGCGCGGTGTCAGCTTCCAGGCCTGCGCGAGCAGCGTGGAGGCGGACGGGAGGGCGCGCCAAGGAGCGAAGCTGCAGCCTGGCCAGGCGGAGCTGCACGAGCTGGAGCGGGGCCGGAGTGAGGCCGTCGCTTCGGCCCGACCCTGGTGCTACCGCCATGGCGGAGTGCTAAAACGGCACGCCGCCCCAGCCTGGCCCGATTGGGAGAGATGGCCCGCGGGCCCGAAACCTCCCTTGCTTGGTCCTGGTGAGGCCCGACGCGGGCCATCGGCTCCAACGGCTCGGACGAGCCTGGGAGTGCGAGGTCTGCGGGATTCGGAGAGCGTCTATGGCCAGGCAAATCTCGAAGCAATGCCCAGGGCTGCCCAGGCTTGTCGCCCAGTCCCACCCGTTCCCTAGGCTTTGGGTGTGTCGGGGTGGTGGGGACGGGCTTGGACGGCGGTCCTTTGGGACGGGGGAGGACACGATCGTCTTTTGCAGGACCTGCGGGGTCTACGGGGGGCGACAGGCCCTGCTCTTCTCGGAGGCCTGCGTCCCCCTGGCCAGGAAGGGCCGAGACGCGGCCAGGCTGGCGCGCGAAGCCCCGGACAAGCGCCGAGGTGGTCGGGAACCCCTGTCGGGCGTTTTCTGGGACCTTCCGCTTCCCGTGTCCAGGCCCGCGCGTTGCTCAACTCCATGTGTCCAGGCCCGCGCCAGGCCTCTCTTTTATACTTTTTCTTCCTTCCCGGCGGGCCCTGGGCTTAAGCCTGAGCTTTGATCCCTCGACAGGGAAGAGGTCGCATTGCGGAGCAGCCTGCCCCTTTTTTCAGAACCTGAGGAACCAGAGGAGGAGGAGGAGGAGGAGGAGGAGGAGGAGGAGGAGGAGGAGGAGGAGGAGGAGGAGGAGGGGAGGAGGAGGAGGAGGAGGAGGAGGAGGAGGAGGAGGAGGAGCCTAAAATCGCGGATAGGCTGGTACACCCCAACTAGACCAGCTGCTGATTGTGGGCGCCGGCCGGGGTGGGGACGGGTCCAGCCATCCAGGAGAGGACAGAAACACCCAGAGCGGGCCCGGGAGGAGGAGGAGGAGGAGGAGGAGGAGGAGGAGGAGGAGGAGGAGGGGGAGGAGGAGGAGGAGCAGCAGGAGGAGGAGGAGGAGGAGGAGGAGGAAGACATAGGGTGGGAGGATAAGCTGCTCTGCGTCGTTCACGCGTCCCAGGTAACGTCCAGTCCTGCGCCTCCTCTTGCTCCTCCTCCTCCTCCTCCTCCTCCTCCTCCTCCTCCTCCCTCCTTCTCCGCCTTCTCCTCCTCCTGATCTTCCTCCTCCTCGCCTCTCTGATCACCCACTGGCCCGACTGGTGCACAGCGCCCCCAGATCAAAGGCGAGGCCGGTGGGGGCCACGCTGCTGCGCGGGGCACCGCCTCGGGGCCGCATACTTCAGGCTGGCGTCCGGGACGAAGTACTCCTCGTCCTCCAAGGCCAGAGACGGGGAAGATCGGGACCCACATCTCCAATCACGCTTTTCGGGAGGGTGGTAAGGGGGGGTGGCCTCAGTGGGGGGTGAAGGAAAGGGCCCCACAGGAGCACTTTCTCGGGGTCTCTTTTGGAGCCAGCAGGGGCTCCAAAGGAGCTCTGAAGCGTCCCTTCAGAGCCTTTTTCTTCAACCTTGGTTTAGGTCACCTCCCATTACCAACCCGCCCGACTTTTCTGTTGCAAGAAACCTGGCGTTGCCCCGGGATTTCGGTCCCTAAGGCCCGTGATCGGCCCCCAAGCCCCAGTGGCCATCAGAACTGAATCCGCGATGAAAAGGTACCCTCGGGGGACTTGCGGTACCTTCCTCCTCTTGCGCGTGCGCCGCCTCTCTGCGCGTGCAAACGTGCCTATGACGTGGCGGCGTCCACGCAGGGCAAGTGCAAGGCGCTCTGTCATTCTCTGGCTGTTACGCGCTGGGGTGTCCACGGATCAGGATAGAGGAGGAGGGGGGGAGGAGGAGAAGGAGGAGGAGGAGGAGGAGGGGGTGGAGGAGGAGGTAGGGAGGGAAGGGCAAGAGGAACAGGTGAAGGAGGTGGCGAAAGGGCCACGGATTGAAGCAAACATTTTGGATTATGTGTACAGGCGATGTGAAGTCCAGGTTGCCAGGACGAGCAGGTCGCCTTGGCTCTTTCGACGCGACGCAGGCCCCAACGGCTCACGACCACTTTCCCGAGTAAGCCTTTCGTCCAGAGTTGTGTGTTGGTTGCCATGGGATTCGCTACAAAAAACCTCTAGAGGCCGAGCATGCCGAAAAGCCGGCCGTTCTGACATTGTTTGAAGCCGCCTGGATCTGGGAGGCGGGCACCTCGCCCCTGACCCATACATCGATCCCCCAGTCCACTCCTTTGCGGATGGCCCGTGGCAGACTTCGTGCACTTCACCGTCCGAGCGGGGCCGACAGCTACCCCTCGGGCGCCGCCAGGGGTGACGCTGGCCAGGCGTGGCCCGGGCTCTCCCAGGGGGGCCCAGGCGACTTGCAGAGCACCCCTCGCGAGGCCTGTATGGCCCCCGTGAGGTTCACCGTGGCGCGAACAGCCGGGAGACCCCTGACCGTCTGAGGAGAAAAAGGCCGTGCGCGTGGACGGTCGCGCGCCCGCGGCCGGCGTAAATCCGCGCGCAGGCGCCCGCTGCACGGCTGGGGCCCCGCCTGGCTGCCGGCTGCGCTCGTGGCGCCACGTCGGGCCCTCTGGGGGCCGGCACGCGGGGCAGACAGGCCGCTCCCTCTGGCTGTGCCGTCGGGGCTCAGGCCTGCGACAGCGGCAGCCGCGCGGAACGGCGCGCGTGCGTGCCCGCGCGCGCCCGGGATTTTTCGGCGCGGCGTGTCGTGCCGACAACCTGCCCGTGCCTCTGCGCTGGGTCGCTGTGTCCTCGGTGCGCTGAATGCCGGCGGCCGCGTGCAGAGTCGCATCACCCTCGGGCGCCCGCGCACGCGCGTGCACGGCCGGGGCCCGCGCGCAGGCTTGGGCGAGCGAGAGAGGACCCAAAGGCCAAGACGAAGGAAGGCTGGGGACTCCAAGACAGACCAGGGAAAACAGCACTGGATGGCTTCAGAGGAGTCCTTGCGCGAGGCCCTGCGTGGGCGCAAGCCCGCGGAATTCGGAACCTACAACCCCCCGCCGAACTTCACACAAGTTTTGTCGCCCCCCCCCCGCCCCCAATTTCCATGCTCAATTGCGCGCGCGGCGCGGCGCGCTGGCGCCGTCGGAAAATCTGAGGTCACGTGATTCGGCATCAATTTTGAAATTTGGGGGTCTGGGGGCGCCAGCGCGGCGTGGGACAAATTCCGTAAGTTTCGCGGAGGGATGGTCGCGCGGCCCCACTGATCGGTTCTTTTCTGGCGCGCTTTTGACAATCAGTGATCCTTCGCGGGAGCGCCTTTCAGTCCGCCGCCCCGCGGCGCGCGCGTGGCTGCGCCGTGCCCGCGCGCATCTCGCTTTGCCCCCTGGGCGACCCCGCCGCGCCCAGCGCGCTCCGCGCCCTTGGCGAGCCCGCGCGCGGCGCGCGCCTGGTGCACTTGGCGCGCCCGGCACACGCGGCACGCCCCAGACGGAGCACGATCTCTCCCCGCCCGCTGGGTGCCGACACTGCTTTGCTGGGGCCCGGGGGCTCCGTGGGCGGGGCCCGCCCAGGGCGCTGCCGCCCTCCCCTGTTCGCCATGCCGCGGCGCCCTCACGGCGGCGCTGCCCCGGAAACGCGCCTGGCCTGCTGGGCCTAAGCGTTTTTTGTTTCCAGCTGCTATTCAGTGGCCAGGCAGTTGCGAACTAATTGTTGTATGTGTTTTCGCTAGTTGCCAATCGTTTCCAGTCAACATGCACAAGTGGTCTTTGATAATTCTGAACCAGAAGCGATTGGCAACCAGAGAAAACAAATCCGGCAACTAATCAGCAACTGTATGGCAACTGGAACTAACGCAGACTGGCGTCTCCAGGTCAAGCTGTCGCGCGCCGTGCTCTCCTCCAGGCGCCGGGTGGGTCGCGGAAGGCGCGCGGGCGGGCCGCGGCGGGCCAGTCGCGCCTTGCCCGTGAGGGGCCGGCCAGAGTGCCTCCCAATGCTCGTCGCCGTCGCTGCCGCTGACGCCGGGCCGAACCGGAGGGCACCCCTGACAACGACGAACCGAACCGAACTGAACCGGAAAATTCCGACGCCGAACCGAACCGAACCGAACGAGACCCACTTAGGAACATAGCTAACCGAACCGAGCCGAACTGGACCCTTTCTGTACTTGGTGTTCTGGCTGGGTCTGCCCCTGCTGTATTCTCTTCCATGCTGCCAGTCGTGGTAGGCGTCCTTCTCGGGATCGTGGTACTTTTCCCTGGCGCCATTGATCCGTGACGTTGGTCAAGTCGCTCTTTCGCTGCAAGTGCAGCAAACAGTAAACGGTCTTGAGCTCGTTGGGCACGTAATCTTCCGTGCCAAGCCTTCTGGGTGCTTCTTTCTTTGCCTGACTCGTCCGTGGCTGTTGTGGATCAACAACTGGTGGTAAATCTTGTAGGCGCGGATATTGTCCTTCCGGCGGTTATGTTTCCATGGTGGGTATCGCGGTAGTCGCGGTTGTTCGTATACCCGTGGTTAGCGCGGTGGACAAGGATACCTACCCTATGGCAATTATTGTTTTAAACGTGGGGGATCCTCGTCTGGTAAGGGATCCGGTTCACGTTGTGCGCGCACCGCCGATGGTTGCGGGCGCGTTGAGGCCAACCTCCCCTGCCAGGTCCTGGCGCGGCGGCGCGGGGGTCCTGGGGCCAGAAAAGTGCGTTTTCCTCCTCCTCCTCCTCCTCCTATTTTTCCTCGGTCCTTCGTAGGGCAAGAAGATTGATGCCTACGCCAAGGAATCTGGCGAGAGGAAGAAGAGGGAGAGAGATAGAGAGAAATGACGACAGAGACTGAAAGAGGGGGAGAAACCAAGAAAGGGACGGCGGCGGCGAGGACTCCCGGGGTCCCCAAGGCTGCACAAGGGAAAAGACTCAAGCCAAGGCAATTCATGTGTTCTCAGACAAGCCGCTGGCCACATACGGGCATCCGTGGCGTTAGCAAGGGCAACTCCCCCTCCTCCCCCTCCTCCTCCTTTGCCTCCTCGACGACGTCAAAGAACAAGAAACGCTGAACTTGGCGGAGCGTGCAAAGGTCTGGCATCCTCCTTGTGATCAAACTCCTCCTACTCCTCCCTCACTCCCTTGCCTCCTATTCATCCTCGTCCTCGTCCTCGTCCTCCTCATTCTCCTCGTCCTCCTTCTCCTCCTCCCATTTAGCCCTCCTCCTTCTGCTCCCTTTCCGATCTCTTCCTCCTGCTTTCTGTCTCCTCTCTCCGCCCTGACCTCCCTGTCTCCTCATCCCTCCTCCTCCCGCACCCCCCTCCTCCTTCCTCCTCCTCCCCCCTCCTTCCCCCCATGCAAAATCCACGCGCGCCTTCGTGCCAGGGAACTCGGTGGAGGCGCAGAAGTTGCCCATGCGCGGCGCCATGCCGAACGTTCGGCCCTCGCGAGGAGAAGGACTACGAGGCTCGCTATGATTGGGGGGTTAAGGGGAAGCCAAACCCATCTTGGAGGAGGAGGCGGCCGTCGAAGGCATACTGCAGGCTGTGAGCCTCGACATGCAAGAGAGTTGGGTTTGTAGAGTCCTGTGTAAGCCAAGGGCAGGCCACGGCCTCAAGATGCGAGGCATGGCAGAAATCCATCGACTGGGTGGCTGGCGTTCTGTGGAAGCGGGGTGCCCATAGACACCAATGCTCGCGAGGAGGGGGAGAATGCGGAGGAAGTTGACGACCAGTAAGACGAATCCGACTCTGCCTCACTTTCCCCTGTCAAGAGCGATGGCAAGCGGCCGCGCACTCGCACGAGGGAGGCCCCGCCTCTACCCCCTGCTCCCGCTGCTGATGCCTTCCATTGCGCTGCACTGCTGGCGGGCTGCCCTCGGGAGGCTCTGTGGATTCAGGGGGGTCCAAAACGATGCTCTTCCCCTTCTCAGTCCGTGGATGCTGCCCCTTCAGCATACGGTTCCAGCGGTGCTGCTGGACAACCAACGAGAAACCTCCATGGCAATTCCTAGCCAAGCATCGCAAATCCCTCGAAGTGCGGGCAAGCAAGGAAATATTCAGATCCTGTGTCACCCAGGCTCTTGAACTAAACATGGCAGTGGACTGTTGTGGCCTGGGCAAGCGAGCCTGCTCTTGCGAACCCTTGTGCTGCCCTTGCACGCCCATGCCAGGCAGCCGGCACACACCCATTTAGTCTGCCTCCAGAACCAAGTGTGGGCGAGAAACTCCTGTCCCTCTCCCTCCAGGGGGGGATCGACGACGACCGCGAGGCTCCGACGGAGGATCAGGAGGAGGAGGAGGAGGAGGAGGAGGAGGAGGAGGAGGAGGAGGAGGAAGAGGTGGTTGGGGAGATGGGCGGATGATGAGAAGAAGGAGGAGGAGCAGGATAACGACTACGCTGATATTGACGACACTGACCGTGATTGCTTTTGGCCCTTGATTCGGGCCTCGGGCTGCCGTTCGGGACGACTCTGGGCTCCCCAGAAGGCTCTCGACGATGCGTAAGTAATGGAAACCACCCCAAGGCCCGACAACCTCTCGGAAACCGAATTATCCGAAGCAGAGATCCCATTCGTGCATCTATTGTCAAGCGTTTTCCTGAGCAAGTGTCTGAACACCGCCGAGTCTGAATGGCGCGAGGCTGAGGGTGTGTAGGCGACTGAGCGCGTGTGTGTGTACATACGTGTGTGTGGGTGCCACCCCGCCAAGGCCACCTGAGGGGTCTGTCTGTGGGCAACCCCGCAGGGCAAGATCCGACGGCATCGAATCAGAAAGTCGGCTCAAATCGAGACGTGCGTCGGATCGGCCTGTGTCAGGTGGACTTGAAATCGGATCGGATCAGCCGCGTCGGGATGCATCACAACGCCGCGCACGCGTCGGGCTGCATCGGATCGACGGAACATCGGAATCGAATCGGATCTGGCCAGCCGGAACCGACACCGCATCGGATCGATCGGATCGGATTGGACTCTGCGGGGGATGCTCACGATGGCGGATCTTGCCTCGACCATTCTGGGCTCCGCGGGTTTTGCTATCGACGAGGCGCCTCTGATGGAGATCACCCCAAGGCCCAAGTACATCCAAAGGACAGGATGACCGACGACACCGACGACCGACGACACCGACGGCGACGACACCGACGGCGACGACACCGACGACGACGACGACGACGACGGCGACGACGACAACGACGACGACGACGACCGGCGGCGGCGGCGGGCAGCGGCGGCCAGCGTGCCGCGGCCTGCGCCGAGACGGGCCTCGCGGGCCGGTCCTGCGCGCGCGCGCACGGCCCTCCCTAGTTCGCCGGCGAGCGAAGTGGGGAAGTGAGAAGGAGGAGGCCTTCTCAGAAGGCGGCGGGCCTTCTTAGAAGCCATCGGGCCTTCTCACAATTTTTCTGTCTTCGGGGAAAACTTAGAAAACTTCTCAGAAGGCCTGGGGACTTCCGAGCCTGCTGTGAAAGCCTTCTTCTTCTCACTTCCCCCCTGGGCTCGCCGCCGAGTGGTGGGACACAGAATGACGCACATACTACAATGAGGGCATTGGCAAAAGAACCATTGGATAAGGAGCCCAAGGTCTGGAAGCAAGTGGAGCTTGTCTCGTGAACTGGCCATGGATATCATCGCCACGCTCATCCGACAAGGAATCCTCCAAGGTCTGAAGCCTTCTGGGCACATTCCTGGACGAACGGCCCCGCCTTGTGTCCTCGTTGGAGGCGTGCGTCCGACCAGGTCATATAGTACAGCCATCTCTCTCTCTCTCTCTCTTTCTCTCTCTCTCTATATATATATGTATACACACCCATACATATAATACAAATGTACTGGGTACATGTACTTGTATATATATATATATATGTATAGGTGTATGCATATATATATATATATATGTCTATATTTTACATACTGTATAGTACGAATATTTACATCGCGCAGTTATACGTATATGTACATTTGTGTATATGACGTATGCATGCATTTATGTATGTATGCATGCATGCATGCATGCATGTATGTATACCTACATAGATCTATGTATATCGTTACCCCAGTGGTACGGCCAGAAAAAGCCAGCCAATGCGCGAACACGATGAGACTTAGGAGCCCGCGCGCCGCCCCTTGCTGGGGGCAGCGCGCACACGCTTGCGCGATCCTGCCTGGGCGAAACCGACCTGAACATCGGGCGCCGCAGCTGCCTCACAATGCAACCTTCGCCCAGCTTCGGGCCCTGGGGCCCTCACGAGTCTGTGCGGCTCGACACATGCTGTAGGAACACGAGCGCTTGCCTTGGGAACATTCGGCGGCGCGTTTCGAACCGGGGGGTGGGCCCCCCCCCAAACGCTCGGCGCCCTCGATCAGAACCAGGGGGACTCCCCTCCCCCCACACCCCCCCTCTCCAAACCACCTCCCCCCTCCCAAGGGGGGGGAGGGGTTTCACCTCCCCCTCTCCCTGGCGCCGGCGCCAGCGCTGGCGGCGGCCAGCAGCGCCGACGGCAGACGCAGCGACGATGACCAGAGAGGGCGCAGGGAGGGGGGGGGTTCCAACCCCTCCCCGCCCCCCTCGGCGCTGGCGCCGGCGCCGGCGCTGGCGGCGGCCAGCAGCGCCGACGGCGGGAACGCAGCGACGATGACCAGAGAGGGCCTAGATGCCGCAGAGGGGAAACACAAATCACCATATACACCACCACAACAGCCGTCATCACCATCACCACACCACAAACTACACCACCACCACCGCCACAACCACCACCACCACCACCAACACCACCATAACCACAACCACAGCCCACTACCACCACCACCTCAACCACTACAACCACCACCACCACCACCACCACCACCACCACCACCACCACCACCACCACCACGAACACCTGATCCAAAGCCAAAACACGGTGGCGGGAAGACCCGAAGGTCTAACCACCACCACACACCACAAACCACCACACCACCACCACCGCCACCACCACCACCAACACCACAACCAGCACAACCCACCACCACCACAACCACCACCATCAGCACCAAAAACGCCAGCACCACCACAACCCACCACAACCCACCACAACCACCACGACCACCACCTTCAACACCACAAACCACCACACCACTACCATCACCACCACCACCGCCGCCATCACCACCACCACCACAACCCACCACCACCACCGCCACCACCACCACCACCACCACCACCACCACCACCACCACCACCACCACCACCACCACCACCACCACCACCACCACCACCACACACCACACACCACACACCACACACCACACACCACACACCACACACCACACACCACACACCACACACCAGCACCACCAACATTACAGTCCACCACCACCACAACCACCACACAACAAACCACCAGGCCTCCACCACCACTACCGCCACCACCACTACCACCACCACCACCACCAGAACTCGCCACTACCGCCACCACAAACCAGCACGCAACCACCACCACCACAGCCACCCCCACCCCCACCACCACCACAACAACCCACCACCACCACCACCACACCCACAACAACCCACTACAACTACCACCACCACCACCGCCACTACCACACCATCACCACCACCGCCACAACCACCACGTCACCACCAGAACAACCTACCACCACCACCACCACAAACCACCACAACACCACCACCGCCACCACCACCACCAGCACCACCGCCACAACCCACCACCACCACCACCACCACCACCGCCACAACCACCACCACCACCACAAATCACCACACCATCACCACCACCGCCGCCAACGCCACAACCACCACCACCAACACCACCACAAGCCACCACCACCACCATTACCACCACCCACCACTTACCACACCACCAGTCCACCACCACCACCACCTCAGACAGGTCCCAAGAGACGTTCAAGAGGCGCCCAGGAGGCTTCACAACAAAGGCCCCCGAGAGCCCTCCGACGAGACCCCAAGGGGCATCCATTAGGACTCGGACCCAAAACCAAGGCACGGTGGCGGAGCGACGTCGTCGTCGTCGTCGTCGTCATCGTTGTCGCCATCGTCCTCGTCGACGCTCCCCGCCGCCGCTGCCAGCCGCTGCAAGCGCTGGCGCCGGCCAAGAAGGAAATCCGTCGTCTTCATCGACGCTCCCCGCCGCCGCCGCCAGCCGCTGCCGACGCCGTCGCCGGCCCGAGGAGAGGGAGAGAGGAGAAGCAGGGGGCGGGGGGGTTTCACCCCCCTCTCTCTCCGTTATGGGAGAGGGGGGGGGTTAGAACCCCCCCTTCAATCGAAGGGGGGGGGGGGTCCGGTTCCACCCCCCCCCCCTCCCTCCAAGCGCCCACAGAACGCGCTCTTTCAGAGAGATGGGGTCTGAGGCTCCGGTCGTGATCTTTTGCGATGTCGCATGTGTTCGCGACGTGGGATCTCAGGGTCCTGCTGCTCCCTGCTCCTGCTCCGCCTGTCGCGATATTGCAGCGTGCCTGGACGTCGCTGCTCCTGGAAAGAGAGGCTGGGGAAAGTCGGAGGCACACTCTCCCTACTCCTTTCCCTCTGTGCTCCCCTCCTCCTTTTCTCGCGCCTGTCGGTGACCACCGCCCACGAACGGTGCTGGCCCAAATCGGCCAGCAGGGCGTACGTCCCCGCCTTGTCGCCAGGCCTTCTTTACACAGGATAGCATCATACAATTTCAAGCGTGTACATAGGGTGAACGCAGCCAGATCACAGAAGGAGTAAACATCATTAGACGATTTATTAGATGCATCCGGATCTCGAATGCCTGGCAAACGAGCAGTGTTACACCGAAAGACGAAGTGCTTGCCCCGAGGAGTCGGGCACAAGAACAGTGAGCATTCACCGACGCAGGACTTGTGCAGCTGAGCCAGACATCTGCGCAGCAGGGAGCGACATTGAAGGGGAGAAGCGCAGGCAATCTGCTGCTGCAGCGCCCGCACTTCGGGCGTTAGCAAAACTGGGTCTAGCAGGACCTGGTCTAGTGATGTGTCCCCGCCCCGTTCCACTGATCGGAACTGCCGTCACCTGGCAACAAAAACACCAACTACGGCCGGCCTGGCTTAGAGATCCTGGCCAATTCAGGGGCTCCGTGGCCCTACGACTAGCCGGGTCCCCTCACCTGGGGTCCTGGCTGTTGGCACTCCCACCGCACGCGTAGACGGCGGCAAGCGGTGAGGCGTGCACGGCGAGGTGTGTCGTCCGCTGTGCCAAGCCGCGCTGCGCCCGACGGGTGCGGTCTGCTGGGGCGTCCATCGCGATGGCGCAGGGGATCGAGGTAAGAGCTAATCTAAGTCGGGCCTGTCCACCTACAGGGGTATTTTCGACGAGAAATAAAACATATTTAAAAAATGCCTCCAAATGGTCAAAAAAGTACGCAAACAATGTCCCCCGACTATTTTCTGACTATTTTTGGATATTCCTCCCGTAGAGGAACGGGCCCGACTTAAAGCTAAACTGCGGGCGGTGCTTCGACATCGCCTCCCGAGGAATGTGCATGCTGAGTTCGTCGTGGCTTCCGCCGATGGCTGCGCCTGTGGGTCTGCATCACCTTCGTCGCCTTGTGCCTGCCACCGGTCCTCGAGAGGTTGTTCGACTCAAAGATCTGATTGAACACCGTCTAGGCTGTCTCGGGGATTGCGGCCAACTCTTCCGTCCTGGCCATGCTCTCACGGGGCCGGGAGTCCACGCCTGTGCCGTCGGGGGCGATCTGCTTTGCCGTGGTGGCAGTGGCACTCGGGGTCGTTCCATCATCAGCTGCCGTGCACCTGGCGGACGGCCTTCGCTCGGCAAACGTATTTTGCGCCAATCGGTGCTGTTGTGCCGGGCCTGGCAAGCGCTCACGCGCACGGGCCTTGCCCTCTGCCTCGATCTGCATTTTCTTCATCCCCTCGAAGGCCTCCGCAAGCTGCGCCATGTTGGGAATCTTGTTCGTCAACGTCGCGTGCATACTGGAGAAGTCCTTCCGGTCCGCTGTGTCTGGGGGGGCTCTTTGGCGAGAGTGAGCATGGCCTTCGGGCTCGGGGTGTCGGGTGTAGGCCATCATCACAATCTGCCAAAGGGTTCTTCATAATTGCCAAGTGTCGTTAGTGTTCGATGTTGCCACGTTCTTGATTATTCGTCGTCGCATGTTCTGTCTTCCTTCTTTCTCGATGCTCTTCACGAGCTGCTTCATGTGGGACTGGCTAGTATCGTTGCTGATCGTGAGCCCGAATGAGCGCGTGTGGCTGTCAGAGGGAGGGCGCTGAACAATTGGCCTTCCAATTTGCAGTTTCGGATGTGTGTTGTGGTGTTGTGACTGGTTTTGGTGATTAGTCATGCCCCTCTTCGACTCTGCGACGTCAAGCAATTCAGACGCAATGTCGCGCTTCGCATCTTTCCGAAATTGTTTGCCTTCTCTCCATCTGGCCTCCCGAGGATGGCAAGCATGCCGCTCGTGCCTGAGAGCTCATCCTCGACCCAAGCTTCGCGCGTGCAGCGGGGGGCCGGCCAGGCGGGCGCGGGGTCTGATGGCGCTGCTGTCTGCTGGCCACTCTGGTCGCGCTGCTTGCCGCAGAACCGTTCCCTTTTTGAGCAGGGACCGACCGTCCCGGCATTCCTATAGTCCTACCACGAAATGTTCTTAGAACCCCAAAACGTTCTAATAACAAAAACAATGTTCTTCGAACATGAACCCGATGGTATAAAACAATACAGACTCCGCCAGAAATGTTCTAAGACCATTTCGTGGAAGCCACAACATGTTCTGAGAACATTGTTTGGTAGGGCTATAGGCGAGCCAGGACGCTTCGCCACTGCTTGACCTTTGCCGCGCCCACCCCCGCCTCCGCCATCCGCACCGTCGTCGTTCACCATGTCAGACTCCGATCGTCCAGCCCAGCAGGTGGACATCAAGAGGCTGCGAACAATCAGGATTGCGGAGGTGACGAACTGGGGAGGAGGAAGACGAGGGTGATGAGATGAAGAAGAGGAAAAGGATGAGGAGATTGAGACGCAGGGCCCTGGGATGGAGAAAGATGACGATGAGGCCAGGGAGAAGAGAAGGAGGCCGAACGAACGAGAACGCGGAAAGGCAAGAAGCGTCATCCTTCTCCTCGTCCTGAACCCTCTCCCTCCTTCTGCTGGTGGTGGCTCCGCCACTATGCCCCTTGGCACGTTGAGGCGTGATGTAATGCCACGTGTTGCCTGGTACGGTGTCTGTGCTCTTGCAAAGGCCCCCCTCCCTTTCACCACGCTGTGGTGCATGAGCCCCCCGCCCCCTCCCGAGGCTGCTTCCTGGGCCCCCCGACGCCTCCCTGGGGCTCGCGAAAGCTCGGCGACGCTGCCAGAACGGCTGAAGAACGCCACCGAGGCCGCCAAGATGCCACAATATGCATCAAAGGCGGCCCACAATGACCCCAAGAGATCCCAAGGTGGCCCCGAGGTGGCCCCAAAACGTCCCAAGATGCCATCAAGACAACCCAAGAGGCCGCAAGACGACGCAGAGCGATGCCTCCTATGGCCCCAATGCGGCCCAAGAGGCCCCAGAGAGGACCCCAAGACGGCAAGAGAGGCTATCAGGATGGCCCCGAAGGCCTGATGAGGGCCCCCAGACAGCCCAGAGGGGCCCCCAGAACGGACTCCGAAGGCGCCAGGCTGCCAAAGAGGGCCGCCAGACGGACGAAGTAACCGTCGGAGACCCCGGGAGGACCCCTGAGACGCTCCAAATCGGGAGCGGCCAAGAGGGGGGTGTCCAAGAGGGGGGGGTGCAAATCATGACCGGCGGCATGTGCGCGGCCCAGCGGGGGGGCCAGGGACGTAATGAAATAAGAAGGGGCGCCATGAGATCTGGGAAAATATCATGGCCCCCGCCATGATATCCCCCCCCCCCTAGTCATCACCCCCTCTTTTCCGCCCCCGACCAAAGAGGCCTCCAAGACGCCCCCTAGAGGCCCCAAGAGAGGACGAGACGAGACGAGACGAGGCAGCCGTTCCCGCACCGCGGTGCGGCCTCTCTAAGGCAGGCGGGAGGGGCCGTCGCCCCGAGAGGCTCATCACTGCTTCCGCATGCTGTTGCCTTTGCACACTATCTCCTCCTCCTCCTCCTCCTCCTCCTCCTCCTCGCCCAGCCGGGGCAGTGCGACATGCCACACGCTGTGGATCGCACTCATACCACCTCACATGCGATATTCTTTGCATGAGCTGCACAGGAGACTTTGATTTGCTCGGCGGGTCGCTGGCACCGTTGTGAGTCGTATCGCAAACCATCGTCCACAAACACGACCTGTGTGCATTTCTGAATTCTTTGTCAAATCCGGTTCGTGCACTTTTCGTTCGTGATGCCCACACTGGGGCAAGCTTGCAAATATCTTTCGTCGTATGCTATCAACGCTGCCTTCTCGAAGCTATGTACGTGTATCTCTTCTGGGGAGAAGCGCCCTCGTTCACCAATGAAGCTTGCAACTTACGCTGCGTTTCCGGCGATGTCGATCTGACGCGAACTGTCTCACCAGCTTGCTGGAAAGATATACCCATTCACCAACCCATTTTGAAGTGCTCGTGTCGATACCACTGGCTTCCAGTATCACGTCCGGTATGGCAATCTCGTGCTCTTCGTTCTCGGCTGGGGTCTCCAGACGAGCTTCACGGTGGACAAAATCCACCTGACTTGATCGATTCTCCATGTGATCTTACCAACAATTCGCTGACCGCTTCGTCAACAATTGGCGTATTCGGAGGCTTCGTGTACAAGACGTTCGATTCGATCCAACATATCGTGCGAACGAAGACTGCGACCATCTACTTTGTCATACTTGTGTGCATCCTTTGCCGTTGGTTGCGGCCCGGTTTGTTGAGAGCGCGCTTGCCCACTGTCCTTCCGAAGTTTCACAGACTCCAGACGTTCATGTACCCGAGCAAAGGAATTAAACAAGATCTGCAGTTGTTACACCCTCTTGCATCGTCCACTCTGGATTCACAATTGCCTGATTATTGAGCTGAAGTGACAAGCATGGACTCTGGTCGTTTAAGGCGATGGACTTGTCATCGGAACTCTCTGCTTGCTGCGACACCTTCTCGTCTCAGTCTTCCAAACAATCAAATCTAGATTCTGCCATTTTGCGCCTGTCTCGCCGGCGGTGTGCTTCAGATTGCGGATACGACCTCCTGTCTTCCCAGTCCGCATTCCAACTTGGGGCCGAGAGGAGGAGGAGGGAGGAAGGGAGAGGAAGGGAGACGACGACGAGTAGGAGTAGAGCCACCCCGGCACGAAGCGGAAGAGCTTGCCGCATTTTACGGCTCACCCCAGCCACAGGGCACGAAGTGTCACATGTTACGGCTTCTTGTTGTGCTCATCGACCTCGCTGGGCTGGCACGTTGGCTGGACTTGCCGGCGAGGCACGCGCGAGGGCCTGGCGGGGAAGAAGGGAGGCCAACCGCGACGACGACGCCGACGACGCTGACGACGACAACGACGACAACGACGACAACGACGACGACGGCGACGACGAACACGACGACGGCCACGACGACACCGGCCAGCGGCGACGGCTGCGGCGGCACGCCGCGGTGCGGCTCCCGGGGCCGGTAGTCGGCCGGTCCGGGCGTCGTCGGCCGGCTCCTGCGCTTCGGCGCGCGTGTCACTGCACGAGGCCGCGCGGCCCGCCGTCGCCGTCGCGGCGGTCGCCGCCGCCTTTTTGGTCCCCTTTCGTCGTCGTCGTCGTCGTCTTCGTCGTCGTCGTCGTCGTCGTCGTCGCCGCAGACGCCGTTGCGGTCGCCGCCGCCGCCTTTCGCCGCCGCTGCCGCTGTCGCTGCCGCCGCAGTTGTCGTGTCCGCCTCTGTCCCCGTGGCCGTCGTCGTCGCCGTGGTCGTGACATTCAGCATGCCTGTAGTCAGACCCTCTCTTTACCTGAGCCTGCGACCAGCCCGCCATCAACTACCTTTCTGATGCCTCCTGTCATGTATATGCGGGAGTGCCCAGGGACCATCTACAAGGGATGCCAACAGAGAGCTACAGGCGAGGAGCATGGGCTCGAAGCTAACGACGGAAAACGATCAGCAAGCAAATTGCAAGCTCCAAGCAATGTCAAACGACGATCCAAAGATACCTACACTGAAGGCAAGCAGAATTCACACATAGCTCATTGGCAAAGTCTGTTCTGTAAAGTATGCGTGAAATACAGATGGTTCTCTAAAATCACATTCCCTGGAAGGCCTTGTAATGACAGATATGCGAGTCCATGCGATACGGCGGGCAGAGTGACAGGTACAGCCCAAATCCTTGGTTGTGGGCCCATCCTTGTTTCATGACTGAAGGAATGCGCAGGACTTCGCGTAGTGAGCGATTCCACCTGGCTCGGAAGGCAAAGCAAAGACGTGCATCCGCCATCAACAACAATCACACTGGCTTGCCTGGTCAAGGCTATCTGGAACGAGGCTGAAGATGATACATGCAAAGTCGAGCGAAAAGGTGATCACGCTGCGAGGTTTCGTTAAAGCTGGACGCGCTGTGGACGCAAGATGGACAAGTCCTGCCTGTTTTCACCTTTCTCTGTCGTCCCCTTCTCGCGGCTTCCAAATGACAAGCGAGTGCGAGCCAGCTGGCGCACGCAGGCCGACGTGAAGGGCCGAACAAGCCCTGCTCGCAGCTCTCGCCGCCGATTGGCTGGGACCAAGCACGGGGCAGCGGTGCGAACGTGGCTCGGACCCGAAATTCGACGCCGTTTGACATGCAACGAAAGGGTCTTGTGGGAAACGGGTGGACCAACTTTTCATTCCGAATCGTCGTTTCAGTCCCCTGGGTGGCCAGTGAGGGCACTGGAGGCCCAAAACGGCGAAAACCCTCAAGACCAATCCCCGCAGGAAAATTTCCCTTCACGGCAAGCCGCGACATGTCACAGCGTCGTGAATTGGCGGCGCGCACGAATGGGGCTAGGTGAAGGGGATGAAGGAGGCTGCTTCTTAAAGGCGTCGGCCTTACGTTCATGTGAGGCCCGCGGCTTCTAAGAAGCAGCCTCCCTCTAGGAAGCCTTCCCGCCTCTCCCTCAGCCTCCTCTGTCCGCGTGGCCGAGTGAAACAAACAACCAGGAAGGCCCCTGGAAGTCCCCAGAAGTGCCCCCGGCCCTGGAAGCCTCCATGGGCCAGAGGGGCGGGGTGCAAGACGACCACGTCCATGGCCCCTGGCCCTCCCCACTCGGGGGGCGGCCACGATCTTCCGCGGCCACTCCGTCTCCAGCTCCTGGTGGAAGTCCGCGTCCGTGGCCACCAGGGCCGGGTGGCTCGCCATGGCCGCGGCCCCGCCCCGTGCGTGCGGCCACGGCCCGGCTTCCCGCCTGGGATCCCAGCGCGGCGGGCGTCGCGCGCGCGCGTGCGAGTTCCGGTTTTGGACAAGCATGAGTACAGAATGTCGTTCGACGTTCGCGGCCTCTCGGAGCACTGCTCGGGTTCTCGGCGTCGTCACAAAAACGACCAGGGACGAACAGCTTGCCCCGGGGAAGGCGTCCGAGCCAAAAGTCTGGGGGCCACGCGTCTTACAACATCTCGACGTCAGGGGGTCTCGGAACCCACGGCGGTGCAAGATCCTTCTCGACGCCCTCCCAGGATAGAGGATCTCGGTTTCAGTCATCACACGCTTGGGACCGAGGGGCACCATATTTGGACGTTTTTGGCCCTCCTTCTTCCTCCTCCGGCGAAATGACGACACCGCCGAGAATTATAGGAGATGGTTCGCTGCGTAACTACCGCGATGAAGTTTCGCATAGCATTCAGGAAGTAAAATGAAAGGTGAACCCGTCTGCGAAACCACGCACACACACGCATATATGTATATATATATATAGATATATATCTACACACTAAAACACACTGGACCCTCCACTGGTCGAGTGGCGTCACCACAGCGAGAGCTGGAATGGGCAGAATACTAACGTGAATTCCACAAGGCGTTGCGAGTGGGTGGCTGCGCTAGTGGAGCGGGTGTGCAAGGTAGAGCACCCACTGCAGTGGGAGGGCAGACGAAGCCCACAAGTGCAGGACATGCGGGGGTGCTCAAACGCGAGGCCCGGAAAGAGGCCGTGAGAGTGCAGCGAAAAACGGCTGAGACCGAAAAACATCGGGCCGAGGTTAGAGACCTCAGTACACACGCGTACGCACGTGCACGCACGCGTGCACACGCTCGAAGAACAACACACGGCATCAAACAACATTCTTTCAGGTCTGCGCGGATTTCGTTTGTCGGCGCTGGGGCAGGACGCGCCGCCAAGGGGGCCTGGCGCACATCGAAGAAATGCGGGCAGATCTCCGAACGCTTGTTCCCTACCTAGGCTCTGCCTAGAAGGGTTCTTACTCTCTTTCTTAAAAGGGGTTGGGCAATGGGGCTCGCCCTGGGCGGTTCCCCCGGTATCCGCCCCGCGGTTCCCCCAGTTACGTCCCCTTAGCTTAGCGTTGCTTATCTCATCTTAGCTTAGCTTATTTCATCTTAGCTTAGCTTAGCTTCATCTTAGCTCAGGTTTATCTTAGCTTAGCTTACCTTCATGTTAGCTTCGCTGAGCTTTAGCATAGCAGAGCACAACATAGCATAGCGTAGCAGAGCATAGCGCAGCACATCATACCATAGCATAGCCCAGCATAGCATAGCGCAGCATAGCATAGCATAGCATAGCATAGGATAGCGCAGCACAGCACAGCATGGCACAGCGCAGCATAGCATAGCATAGCAGAGCACAGCATAGCAGCAAAGCAAAGGCAAAGCAACAGCAGCGACAGCAAAGCAACAGCACAAGCAACGCAAAGCAAAGCAAAGCAAAAACAAAAGCAAAGTAGTCGCCCCCGTCGCCCCCACCATGGGCACCATCGCATCACCACAGCATCCGTCGTCGTCGTCGTCGTCGTCGTCGTCGTCGTCACCGTCGTCGGTCGCCGTCGTCGGTCGTCGTCGTCGTCGTCGTCGTCGTCGTCGTCCCCCTCGCCTAGAGCAAACAAAAAAACGGATCCGTGGGCGACGCCGCCGCTGCCGCCACTGCCGCCGCTGTCACCTGCTCCTCCTCGTCATCCTCACCGTCATCCAGCTCCTGGTCCTCCTGCCCAAGATCTGTTGGTGTATTTTGTGGCGCTCGTGTGTGCCAACCGCGTTGCCAGTTCAGTTTTCTGTTCGGGTAGTTAGCATGGGTGTAATTCCCTATCTAGGCTCTGCCTAGAGGGTTAGCTTAGCTTAGCTTAGCTTAGCTTAACTTAGCTTAGCATAACGCAGCGCTGCATTAACATATCATAGCATAGCATAACATGGCCAAGCATAGCACAGCATAGCGTAGCATAGCGCAGCATATCACAGCATACCATAGCATATCATAACGCAACTTAGCATAACATAGCATAGCATAGCTTGGCATAGCACAGCGCAGCATGACATATCATAGCTTATCATAGCATAGCCAAGCATAGCGCAGCATAGCATAGCATAGCATAGCATAGCGCAGCATAGCATGGCATGGCATGGCATAGCAACTAATGCTGCTTTCCTAGGGGCTCCAACTTCTAGGTAGGGTCGCACTGGGGTATTTTTTATGCAGTTGGCTGCTCCTTGTCGCGCGCGCACACGCGTTCGCGGGATTTTCTTGTCTTCGCGAAAGGCCTTCCGGCCGCGACCCCGGGACGGCCGCCGCAGGCGGCTAGGGTGCGCTTCTGCTACCCCCTGCCACCCCCTCGCTCTCTTCCCGCGTGAGGAGGCAGGGATGATGATGATGATGATGATAATGATGATGAGGATGAGGATGAGGATGAGGATGAGGATGATGATGATGATGATGATGATGATGATGATGATGATGATGAGGGGGAGGAGGAGGAGGAGGAGGAGTAGAATAAGGAGGAAGAGGAGGAGGAGGAAGAGGAGGAGGAGGAGGAGGAGGAGGAGGAGTCACACTGCCTCAGGAGGGGGGGGGGGAGGGAGGTCCCACTCCTGTCCTCGAAGTAGCAGCGCGGCTACCCCCGACTGACGGGCGATTGCCCGCGCTCTTGCCTGCACAACTTGCCTGGTTGAAAGAGTGCGACCTTTCCCGACTCTTAGTGTATTACACAAACTATAAGTGATTTCTAAAGCTAGCGCTATACTACCCAGTTGAGACGAGGAGTTCAGATCAACGAAGGAACAGATAAACTGGTGCTGGAACACGCCCCCGCCCCAGGACCCAGGAAGAAGAGGAAGAGAGGCCCTCACCGCATCTAATAGAACAGGACATTGTAGATAGTGTTTCATTGAGCCACCTCCCATGGCCATACACCTGCATTACATACCATTGTATCCACTCTATATCTCGTAGTAGTGTTCCAAGCGTTACACCATGTTTTAAGTATTGCTGCGAGCACGAACGGCGGCAACTTCTGGCTGATGATGCGCATCCGCATCACCGTCAAGCTCACCTGGGCATCTGTGATGCCTGGAATCCACTTCTGAAAGCGGGGAGCCACACTTTCCCCGAAGGGCTTAAGTGACTCAGCTTCTCGGATGGCCTTCCGAGCGAGGGCCTGGGCGTTGGGGGCATCAGGTTCCTGAGGGGCCTTCGGGAGGCTCGGGACAACACGGACGGTCTCCTGGAGATACCGAAGAATGGATTTCGTGAAGAGGGGGTGGTGTTGGTATGCTAGGACTACGTCGGCAGTTTCAATTACATCCTCAAGTTACTCGCTCCAATACAAAACGGCCGAACTCCTCATTGCTGTTCGATAAGCCGCCGCCCTGCTCCAGGACGAAATACTATTACATTCGTACTTGAAGCCTGCTTCTTTGAGCTGGAGCATCAGTGGCGGTGGGAGCGCATTGAAAGGGTCCCGCCGTCAACAACTGAGTAGCCTATCTCTCGGCCGCCAACACACTTTTGGTGATCGGTCTGGCTTGCGGCACGAAGGCGAGCACAGGGAAGCAGAAGGTGCTGTAGGCGAGGATATTCATGGAGAAGGAGAGGCACATACTCCTGACCTTACGTGCACGCTGTCGCAAGGCAGCAGCAGGGCCTTGCCATCAATCATCGCAGGCATCAGGTCCCAAGACAATTCCCAGGTACCGTGCCTTCTTAGTTATACGAAAACCACGAACCCTTAGCCCATGTCGTATACATTCATCGGTAATGAAGTCCTTCGAGGGGCCCGACGGGAACGCCAGGAAGGTTTTGCCAGGATGGATCAGCAAACCAGTCATCCGAGCCAAAAACATAATATCTTTAATAAGCCCAGGGGAGGTTTGGAACAACTTCTGCGACATGTGGGCAAGGTCGTCCGCGAAACCGTAAAACGAGCTAGCAGGGTCTTGCCTGGAGGTCAACTGCTGGGCCATATACCGTAGTGTAGGACCCACCACCAGAACATATAACACTCCACTTAAGGGGGCCCCCTTGTTTTATCCCTTCTGAGGGCCTCGAAATAGTGGTCAGGGCTGCCTCTCAAGTTCACGTGCGCCCTCACTCGTTCATACAACTGCTGGATCGCGTGCAGGGTGCCTGCTGGGATGCGCATCTTCTCCAAGCAGTGAAACATAAAAGTGTGCGCCACAGATGGGAATGCTGCCTTGATGTCAAAGAAGGCAGCTCCTGCGCGCGTGTGCCCTTGGACGCCTGCCCGCGGCATCATCTGCGAGTCGAGCGAGATCAGATGGTCCATCATATTCCTGCCTGCAAGAAAGCCCTTCTGGATCCTATCCACCGTGATGCTAGCAGAATGTGGTACAGGGCGCGCCAATGCACTAGAAATCAGCTTATTGTCCGTGTTGGATAGTGCTAAGGGCCTCGTTTTTGCCGCCTCCCATCTTTCCCATATTTGTCATCGCTTTCGTGTTCCCCTCTAGGCAAGAATACTGCTAAGGCCTCGTTGAAGTCCTCCTCCACCTTCCCGCCACCGATGATGTAAAGATAAAATTGAAATAAGTGTTCTAGAACGTGTTCTCCTCCACTCCTCCATGCACTGTGCGGTGTGCCGTCTGTTCCCGAAGCAGAATCCTTCTTGCGTCGGGCAAGCTCGAAAAACTGTTCCCTGCTCAGCGTCCAAGTCGTGGACTCAGCAACTGGCTTGATGAATGGCTCGATATCAGGATATAGCGTAATGTCCGTGTTCCAAGCTCTGCCTACCTCCCCCCAGTACCGAGCCACTTCGCGAACACATTTATCAAGGCACTGTAAACTCTCACCATCAGTCGTGATGATGTTACGCAGAAAATGCGCCGATGTGCTGGGGCCCATGCCGCCGCCAGACTCCAAATTCGTTCGATGTACGTACTCTTCCTCGTTTGCGAGATGCTCT